AGATGAAGAGTGGCATCCCCACAGGCTCTTAAATTGACATCAATTTGCCCCTGTTTAAATGTCTTTCTTTCAGTTATATGTTTTACTTACATATACATTTTACTTAGTATCGATTGTTTATGTTACTGTTATAGAGTTATTAGATCGAAAACATGATCCAATAAGCTTGTAAGGAAACTGTTCACTGGACAAGAGTCTCATCCAAAATGCCAAACTCAAATGACTTTAAGGATAAACAGAACACCTCATTTCTTATCTAACATACAAATTTAGTCTTCCTATTTCATATTCATCGTGATAATTACAAAATGATTGTTTACTCTGTTATACATTTTTATGAATTCATTTGAGCCTCGATTAAAGTAAAATATGTGTTTATTTCATTCATAGATACTGGCAAAGAAAAGCAGAAGTGGCATCTGTGAAAGGACAAAAATGGTTAATCGGATGAGTGAAGTTTTCCTCATCTTTGTCATGCTGCGTTGCAGTTGGGGTCAAATGTCGACAATTCAAGATGGCGACGAGCCTGATGTGGAGGAGACGGAAAGTCAGGATCCATTATGGATGGTGTCCACAATCATCGGTTGGACGACCGAGGAAGGGACGTACATGACGCCGACAGAGGTGGATGGTGTGTCCTCTGCTATAGCAGATGCTGCGTGGCGTTGGCAGCCGATCCAGTGGTCCTGGTGGATATTATTCCAAGTGATATCCTCGTTGCTAGGCGTGGTTGGCAACCTCCTGGTGATGCTGCTGATCTTAGGAGGACGCCACCTACGGAGTTCGTCGGATTATCTCATCGGACATCTGGCCCTGGCGGACTTCTTGACATCGGTGTTTCTGTTCCCTCTTCCCCGGGCAGTACGGGTCCCGTCCACACCATGGGCTGAAATCTATTGCAGGCTGATCTTCACTTCCTTCTTCATGTGGTTGTCCATTTTCATGTCCATCATGATCCTGATGGTGATATCCGTGGAGCGTTTCGTAGCCATCGTGTACCCTCTGCATTTCCAACGCTTCCGGAGGCGCATGTACGTCACCAAGTGCGTTCTACTCCTTTGGGCAGTGTCTACTGCTGCAAACATTCACATTTCTGTCAACATAAGAGTCGACAACGAATCGCATGAGTGTACGGTCGGACACGTTTCTCAAACATGGCAGATCGTTACTGGTGTCATCATCTTCTTGATCACCTTTGCCATCCCGGCCTCAGTCATGATCATCACCCAGATCATCGCCGCTAGGACCCTCCAGACGCAATCCCGACGGTTCGAGGGCGTTGTGTCAAACATGTCCAACGGCTCGAACAGTCTCCTCGTCGCCAAGAACCGCGTTCTGCAAATGCTGTACCTGGTCATCGCCATATTCATCATATGCTGGGGTCCGAACGACGTCGCCTATTTCCTCTACAATCTCCATGTCCTAGATCAGAGCTATCTCTACGGACCGGTCGATAGGATCCTGGTAGTGATTGCGTTTTACAACTCTTGCGCCAATCCGATCGTTTACGCCATCAGGTACCCGCGATTCCGCAGGGCCATCCGAAGACTGTTGTCCTGTGCACCTTTGAGTAGTGGCGCCCTCTTCGATTTCAATGCGACTACTGTTGCCGGTCGACTGGACCACAACGTAAATCAAACCATGATGAACACCATATCAAATAATGTATCTCGAGCCTGAGAGCAAACAAATCTGGATGATTTACTATCAATATCAAAGTTAGTTCCTGACGTCTCTTGTACTTTATACATTTTGCGACCAAGCGAAGATAGCAACAATTCTTAAATTTCGTTAAAACACTACGGCAAAGACTTTGGAAAATCAACTATAGCCTTGTAATTTATTACCTAATGAAATGTCCGTTTATTTCAATGACGCATTATGCAATCCAAACATGATTACTATTGGATATACCACAGGGTATTGATCTTACTCTTGGGTCGATTTCTCGAAAGGCTTTGCGATCGTTTTGTTTAAAGCTAGATGCATACATTGCTTTAATTCCATTATTAAGTGATACAATATATACTTAATTGATGTTTTAAGATAGGAAAAAGACCTCGTTGGTGTCTGAATATTGGGTAATTTAAAGTGTTCGAGGGGGAGTGGGGTTGGAGCTCGAAACCTTGTACAGTGCGTCCCAGAAAAAACGAAACCGAGAACTATCGATGTTTTATCATAAAGTTCTGTTTGTTTAAAGTAATGCTTGCATTTCCATGATTTGATCAAACGAGTTCGTTTTCACTAGCTGCCTGCCGTAGCAACAAACAGAGTTGACAAAAGACTTAACTCCGTTTCGTTGAAAATCAGCCATGCATAAGTTCTTTCGTCTTCTTTGTGCGTGGCTGATCGTCAACGAAAAGGAGTTAAGTCTTTTGTCAACTCTGTTCGTTGCAACGGCAGGCAGCCGGTTAACCCTTACTGTACTGGGCTATTTTGAGCACCCTCTGACTCGGCCGTCGAATGTCCGATGAACACGAAAATTTGCATATTTGTAGATATTTACGTAAGGAACAAGACGGTATAATTAGTTTTTTCCTAATATGCAAATTTTTGTCGTTATAGCCTAATTAATTATGCAAAATGCTAATTTTATGCATTTTACAGAAAACTCTACAAATTTGTCCGTAGACTTGTGAAGAATCTTGAAAATGTATTGAATAAATGTTTCCTTCATCTCAAATTCATGAGGTTTCATTATTTTTATGATATTTGAAAATACATAGGTTAATTTGCATAATTTATGAATACGCAATATCAAATCTAGAACTATATTTAGGGAACTAGGATCATTACACAAATTGTCAGACTCCACTTTTTGAATGTTTTAACTCATTATTCATATGAAACATCTTTTCTAACACAAAATAGTTATTTGATGTAATTAATAATGATAATTTATGCAAATTTGATGCGATTTTCAACTATTTATTTTCTTATGTATTTTATTGTTTTTTATTTCTTATTATATCTATTGTTTTATTTCTAATGTATTCTTTTGTTATGGAATACATTAAGTTACTCTGAGAAACATATAAAAGCAATTTGATATCAATTCATATCTTCACATTTCTGCTTGTAAATGAATATATGCAATTATAGCACTTTTTTATGACATGCGCATACTAATTGTTATGTAACACCTTACAGGTATATCCGATTTTGACGAAAATGGTATCAAAATGTGCGCAAGACTTGAGGGAAAAAAAGTCATGAAACGACAATTCAAAATTCCAAGCGGTTGCGGCGCGATCTCCGAAAATGTCGAGAGGGGGGCCTCCCAGGCCCCCCCCCCCCAGTACAGTAAGGGTTAAAACGAACCCGTTTGATCAATTTATGGAAATGCAAGCATTACTTTAAACAAACAGAACTTTGTTATTCCTGGCTCATTTTTCCTGATTGAGGTGTCAAATGAAAGGGCAGGAACTGAACTTTCGAGAAATGTGATTTTCTCTTAAAAATTCAGATACCACCCGCCAAATGACTTTTTGGTTTCCTCTCTTCAAATTACTTTTAATCACTCATGCGTAAAATATGCATCATATGAGTTGCATCAAATGAAAGAGGAGGATCTAAGCTTTCCAAATATGTGTCATTTATTAATTATAATTGCGATTAAGTTATGATAAAACATCGATAGTTCTCGGTTTCGTTATTTCTGAGACGCACTGTATAACACTTTCTGGTTAGTGGTTACTTTTCTTACGCCATCAAAACGACGGTAAATTGCACTGCGGATAAGGATTATGTAAACGATGCTAAAAAAGAGCACTTAATTGGCGGCCCAAGGACTTTCTTCGCTTACATCTCGGGGTTTCTTACAGACACTCCCGCAGCCAATTTGCATAAATTGTTCCATTTTCATTCGTAATTGTGGCTCTGGAAATCGCTCACTAATTGGAAGAAATGTAAATAGACCTTGAGGGAAGTTAGAAGCTCGAGCGGCTTGACGGCACAAACAATGAAAGTGAGCTGATAAATCCCTTATGTTGAATGATGTACACATTATAAAAAATAAAGTAAATAAAACGATTCTGACAGTAAAATATGGAGTTGGGATTAGCTTTTATTTGTGACATTCTCAAGAAACATAATCGGGACAAATTAATTGTTCAAATACTTACAACATGTATCCTAACACGTGTATACAGCAAAGTGTTCGCAAAATATTGTGGTACTGTATTTATATTTGTTATTGCGCCAACTTCACCCATTTTCACTGTTTCTGCATTTTCTTTGTCATCTTATCTCTGTCTCTACTCTCTCAATCTTTTTCCCCTCTCCCCTTCAATGTGCTTGCTCACTCCCTCTCTTTTCTTATCTTCCCATCTTCTCCTTCCCCTGTTTCTCCTTCTTCCCCTCCTCACCTCTCTTTCTGTCTCACTCTTCCCCTCCTTACCTCTCTTTCTGTCTCTCACTCTTCCACTCTTCAACCTCTTGTTCTCCACCTCTCTGACACTCACACTCCCTCCCTCTCTCTCCCCCTCTCTCTCCTTCTTCCCCTCTCCTTCTTCCCCTCCTCACCTCTCTTTCTGTCTCTCACTCTTCCACTCTTCACCCTCTTGTTCTCCACCTCTCTGACACTCACACTCCCTCCCTCTCTCCCCCTCTCTCGCTCTCTCTCTCTCTCTCTCCTTCTTTCCCTCCTCACCTCTCTTTCTGTCTCTCACTCTTCAACTCTTCACCCTCGTATTCTCCACCTCTCTGACACTCACACTCCCCCTCCCTCTCTCTCCCCCTCTCTCTCCTTCTTCCCCTCCTCACCTCTCTTTCTGTCTCTCACTCTTCAACTCTTCACCCTCGTATTCTCCACCTCTCTGACACTCACACTCCCCCTCCCTCTCTCTCCCCCTCTCTCTCCTTCTTCCCCTCCTCACCTCTCTTTCTGTCTCTCACTCTTCAACTCTTCACCCTCGTATTCTCCACCTCTCTGACACTCACACTCCCCCGCCCCCATCTCTCTCTCCCCCTCTCTCTCCTTCTTCCCCTCTCCTTTTTCCCCTCCTCACCTCTCTTTCTGTCTCTCACTCTTCAACTCTTCAACCTCTTGTTCTCAACCTCTCTGACACTCGCACTCCCTCCCTCTCTCCCCCTCTCTCGCTCTCTCTCTCCTTCTTCCCCTTCTCACCTCTCTTTCTGTCTCTCACTCTTCAACTCTTCACCCTCTTGTTCTCCACCTCTCTGACACTCACACTCCCCCCCCCCCTCTCTCTCCCCCTCTCCTTTTTCCCCTCCTCACCTCTCTTTCTGTCTCTCACTCTTCAACTCTTCACCCTCTTGTTCTCAACCTCTCTGACACTCACACTCCCTCCCTCTCACTCCCCTGTATATCTTTCCCTCTCCCTCTCCCTCTCTCTCTCTCTCTTTTCCCCTTATGTCTGTCTGTCTGTCTCTCCATCTCTCTCTCTCTCTCTCTCTCTCTCTTTCTCCTTCTCTCTCTCTTTCATACTCATCTTGACATAACTCCATGAAACATCGAAATAAAAAAACTGAACAATGTTCATTATTATTCTAGCAGCCGTTTCTCCTCTTTATTCCTAAGCAACATTTTGCGAAAAAAGGACATGAATTTTTAGTGTATTCCAAGCAAATAATCACCAACAGTTCCTAACCAACTGAAGGCATATTAGCATTTATCAACCTAGAATTGCAACCCTTTAAAGACAGATTCAAAGCCATACAGAAACAAACAAAATTAATCTGAAATGAAGAAAATATACAGCCCATTTCTACACATACACACACTATAATTATATTTCTCACATTTTTTGCAAGTTATCTATCACTCTAAGCATATGAAAAATGAATAGATATAAAAATAATTATGACATAATAGTTGGGCACCCCAGCACCTCGAAATGAAAAGGATTCTAATGTTACTACATCCATGGAAACACTAACTACATTATGAAATCCCTAACTTTAACTACTTATCTTTACCAGGCTAGCATCTACAGTACAGTGGACATTCTTTTAAACAAATCAAAATGACAAACATAAACTTGGAAGAATTTCATGTCCCCACGTAAAATTTCATCCTCGCTTTTATTACTCATTAATAAGTCCTTAAAACAGATTATCCAGCATCCTTGTCATTAAAAAATGGTTTGGATACATGAATAACATCTATTCAACTACAATTAAAAAGAATCCGATTCTCAACTTCATTGGAAAGCCGGGACATGTAGAAAGAGTCCCCAGTTTTCTACATGTCCTTGTTTCTTCTTCGGTTTGCTATACACCTTGCAAAGTCTACTCGAACGTCAAGTCCCCAGATGACTTTCTTCATATCATTTGCAATGCTTACAACATCTCTATATCAATGTACTGACCTAAATTAGAAAAGGAGTACTTTCTAGGGTTAAAAATGTTATTTTAGTCTAAAACTACGTTCAAATTATAAACTCTACTTCATATTTAACATTTAAAATGATCTAACATTCTATATCATCTACAAATTTCAGTACCCAACAATTAATGAAGAAAAATCATTAAAAATCTTGCCATGTCAAATGCTGGACGTTTGCATGTAAATGTATTGTGTCCGATGTGAATAAGAAAAGAATTGATTCTGATTGTCCAAACGTCCCCACTTTCAGACATCAGAATCAGAGACTTTCCAAACTCATTGAGCTCCTCTCCACTTGCCCTTACAGGCACTGCATTGCAATGTTGTCAGAAATATGTCAGAGACTTTTGTCCCCAGTTTCTCTGACAAATTTCCAAAAAACTTTGCAAATCAGATTTCCCTTGAAAGTCAGTTTGTCCCCAGTTCAACTTTCAAAGGGTAATCTAATTCAAATTATTCAAAAAGATGCGTAATCCGTATTCAATGCAATAGGCACCTCAATTGAAAGTCTTCCCCAGAAAGATTTCAAATGGTGTGCCGACTAACATTTTACATATAGAATGACCTCATGAACAACCTCCATGGCAAGTAGATTGTATCGCTAACTTGGCAAACAAAATAATACATGCAATATGGCTCTACTCTTTAACAAATTACTCTAACATTGAGCTATAATTGCAAAAAGCCTGACATATAATAATAAGAATATCTTTAAAACTACACGAGTACTTTGTTTCTTTTTATTTTTGTTTAGAATAATTGTTAGTTTCACTTATTTTCATACCAAGTATCGCAGTTAAAACACTTTTTTTCCCATTTATTTTTTGCGCATATATGTTTATGCTTCCAGTAGATAAAAAATAACGCCGGCACTTCATAGAAAAAAACGACAGAATGTTTGCAACACCAATAATAGTTTGCTTCAGCAATCGTATATAATGCACTTGTGTGTATTGTATACAAAACATAGAATAGTACGTCCATAAACATAATTTTAATGTATCGAGTGTAACAGTATGGATTTCATATCCATCGATGCACATTACATATGATTTTTTTTGCATGATGTAAACACATGGATACAATTTAGTAATACATGAAAAATGGGAAGTGACCGGAACAACAAAAATACAGTAAAACCAAAATGAGGCTGATACCAAGTCATGAAAGTGAATGAAATAAAAATATTATTATAGACGCGGAAGATATTGTCTTTTCTCAATCGTCGCCTTATTTTCACATTTTGATTTTCACACAATGATAAAAACCACCGGAGTGCATATGCGTAGAACTGCGTTACAACCAGTAAAAATTTCAAATTTGGCAGAGAAATTGTAATACACTTCATAACATTAATGTATAATTCAATTAAATTTGATTTTCTCTAAAACTTGAATATGAATTCATTCCCTTAACTGGCAGCTATGATATCATATTGACAGTACAGCTTTCATAATTTGAGTCCATTTAATAGAAAGAAGATTCATTCTTTTCAATATTGTGACATTTCAGCCATGATAACATTGTTTATAATGAAAAAACAGTTTATGAAACATAATTCATGGAACACAAAACATATACACTTTATACTTTGAAACATATGAGACAATTTACTCTTTTAAGACCAATATATACATAAAAAAGCATGATTCATTTTTTAAATCATATACAGTTTACATACATTTAAATGAAGTTTGAAAGACAAAAAAAGATATTCTTTATTACCCTAAAATGTCAAAATCTTGAATATCAACATTCCTTAGATATGAGTACATTTTATTAATTTTTGTCACAAGGAATGGTGATTTTTTTAAATCAGAATAATCTCCTTTCATCAGGTGATTTACAGAATTCTGACAAGAAAGAAAACATGAAATAAAGACAAGTGAGCATAGTTAATTCAAACATGATTATAGCAACAATATTCTAAAAACTCACAATAGTACATATCAAATTGTTTATCATGTTTTTCTTTATTATATCACTCTCCCATTCTCTCTCTCTCAAATTGATTTCAGTTTCTTTTTTCCCTTTACATTTGAATAATAATGCTAAACCACAGGTACATTTACGTGTATAATTGTGGAAGAAATAACAATATAAGTCTTATGTGTATAGTCATATTTACGCACTCACTCTCTCTTACAGTGTAGTTCAGTATTACATCCCAAGCAAGTTGTAGTGGGTCTTGTTTATTTTTTTCTTTACTTGTTCTATGGGATGTTAGGACTATTTTCAGATTTTAAAAAGTATTATTCATGTAAAGTACATTAAATTTTATCTGAAAGGCAATCTTCAATTGTGTAAAAATGAGAGAGAGAGTGTGAAGATTATCAGAGTACTTAATGCTTCCATCCGCTGCTTGAGTTCTTGTGGGTTGAAGCCTTCTTTGATTTGGCCATGGATGCGGCCGTCGGTGACGATAGGTCCGATCGTGGTGAGTACGTTGTGCGCTTGTATGTCGGCATGGTGACGGTACGCTCTTCCTCCGTCACGGTACGCACAGTGACCTCACCTCTGGTTCCACCCTTGGGGCTGGAACGCTCATCGACGCTCACGGTCGTGTTGCGTCCAGTTATTTTCTTTTGGGTGGAGTAGCCGCCGGTCGAGGATGGCGAGCGCATTGAGGTTCTCTCACCTAGTAAAGGATAAAAACAAAAGGAAATTATTTGAATGAAAAAAGCAAAAAGAGGAATAGCTATTATATCATATTTCAAAATAGGCAATTAATGGTGATCTTCATGATTTTCACTTTGAATTTGCATGCGTTCATGCTCTCTCACCCTTCTACAAAAAAGAGGGGCATCTATCAATGCAAAATTGAAATACAAAGCAATTTCTATGATTCCACACACTCAAGATATCAGAGAAAGAGCAAATCCAAGGTCTAAAGCATTCCCTTGAAGGCCAAAATATAACCCAGCATTCCTCCAAAATGAGAATGGTTGGCAGCTATGAGCATAGTGTTGCTTACACCTTGGTCTTTTATACACATACTTTCACTTGAGACTATGTGCATTGTTTTCGGCTTCAAATAACTATCCTATCCAGACATTGTAATCTGAGTTCAATTCTGCACAGAAAACAGCTGCCCTGCATCAACATTATGAAATATCATACAGGGAGAGCTTAGGAATTTATTCATGCAATACCGTATGCCCAGACAATTCCTTTTCTATTTGTTTTCTTTCTCTCCCTCTCTCTGATTTTGCACTCACTCAATCTTTTTCAAGCAATTGTTCAAGAGTCACAGCAAAATAGAAAACACCCCCATTTTCTTTCCCAGCATATGTCATAATTCATGCAAGGCATTCATACAATATAATGTATGAAAAATACTAACATTCCTCTGAATATTATTAATATCAATTCATCTACTGCTATTGGTTATAGAAATTCTTTCAAATTCATGCAGTAATGCCACCCAGCTAGGTAAATCCATGGAGAAGAATCTACATGTATTTGCAACTACATGACTTTGTACATCATAAATGTACATGCATTTTAAGGCTACATTGTAATATCTTTCTTGTCTAAATAGACATTATCCATCTCGCTGAAGTTGATACATTATCATATTCATACATGTACTTAAGTCGCAAATGATTCTTTTGAAATTTGACAATATCACCCCAGTAAGATTGAAATCACAGATATCCATCACAACTAATGTATATACTGTACATGTAAATGTATACCAAAATGACAAGATGTAGATGTATACAGAATAAAGAATGATAATTCTACTTGTACATGTTGAGGATGCAAGAGAAGGGTAATACTGCTATAACTAGATGATGTAAACATTCAGACATCAATAATATATATCTAACATTCAATATACAAGTACGAGTGATATAATATACTTCTCGCTACGAACTGTATCAACAAATACTCAGTGGTAGAGAATGGGATAATGGAAATGGACGATTCCATGCAATGTGTCCCCTGTTTTTTCCACATAATATTTCATCAAATAAAGAAGAATCTCGTTCGATATGACCATTCAATAATGGTGCTTTCTGCTATCACTACCATTAGTCATAGCCATAAATAGATTTTTCATTCATGGAGGAGATGAATGTATATGGGTAAATGCTGTATGCTGTAAGGGGCACATTGGATGGAATCACCCAAATGAAGGTTAGTTGCTACAAGAGAGTAGGCTATTGTTTATCCTCTACAAGGACTAATATTTATGATTAAAGATGACCAAGAAGAACTTTTTAAGTATCATAAATTTCCTCTCTTATTTCTAACAGTCTCTGACCTTATATCAATAAAATAGTAATAACATTACAATTTCCCCTTATCAGGACAATCTGAATTATATCTTTAAAAAGATATGCATTCATAATTTGCTTTGCTTTGAAGTCAAAAGCTGTCAAACTTTAAAACATGCAAATATAAATGGTATGCAATTTCACAATCACAGCAATTGAAAACGAAATTTCTTGTATAAGTTGAGAGTCAGCAAAAAAACAAAATGTTATATTGTGCAGGAGAAAAAGAGCAAAAATCCAATTTTTTATTTATTTATTTTTCTTCTTTGAAAAGCTGAATTGGAAAAATGTGGGGCATGAAAGTAATAAAGAGGATTGAAGAAATAGGAGGTAAGAACAAAAAGGGGTAGAAATGGCATACATAGGGGCTGCATCCAAGAATAAATATGAGCATAGCAAACTTCTATACATCATACGGATGCTATAAAAAGTAAACTCAATATCACTTACTGGTGAGCAAAAGAAATGATCGATAAAATATATTAGCAAAAGTGGTGTGGAAAAAAAGAGAAGAGTGAAATAAAATTAAGCGAAATGGTATCACAGCTAGATTGGGAGAAAGAAAATGAGTTATACTTTGTCACTGAAAATAAGAGGCAGCAAATGATGTGCAAAAAGATTGTGAAAAGAAAGAGAAAACAGGGAAATGTCTTCCACATCTGAATTAAAGATCAAGATCATTTAATTCCTACAGACTTTTCTTTTTCAAGATTTTGCTGACACATAACTCCATCCAAATAGTGTTCCGACATGAATTAAATTGAATTTGGTGGATTCATTTCTTGAATTTCTAAATGAACATTCATTTCTTATGACATTTCCAAATAGAGCTCATGGAAGACCACACAAAAAGTAAGTGAAGTGATTAATTCAGCATGATATACAGGTATATGTGAAAAAATAGATCAATTCATCCCATACCCACACTCTAGAAAGTGAATAAAAATGAATTTAAACCACAATTATATACATTTGCATATGATTTATGATTAACATATAGTTTAAGCTTCTACCAACCTATACATTTAATAGGCAAGCTTCGTTCACTCCTGTGGACTTTTCTCAAGCTAAATGATTATTCACACAGTTTCTTGCCATCTGTTGCCTCGCCCTTCTGTATAAAAAGGATTAATCCTTCATTGAATAGGGACTCTGCCCTATTCATTGTCACCTATCATTGCTCCTAGGATCCGAGGCAGCAGACAGCAAGAAACTGTGAATAATCACATGACGTGAGAGAGCCCACAGGAGTAAATGAAAGTCTGCGTACTAAATATAAAGGTTGGTAGAAGCTTAAACTACATCTTATAAGCACCCCAACCAGTGAAAGTTTTCTGTTTCATGATTATTATTACATAGAGAAATATATTCTCAAGACAATACACAAGTAGTTGTCTAATAAAAGACCCTTTTTCAAATAAGTTCCCTCAAACAGATAAGGATAATCAGATTTAAAATGAGATCACTGCTGTATATAATGGGGATGTGGTCCTTTCTCACAGCAATTGCAACATAACTGCCAGAAATAGCAGCAAATTATAATAGAGAGGACACAGCAGGAAGCTTAGTGTTACGTGATCCATAGTTACCTTTTTTTACTTTCTTAACTACGATGGTGTGAGAAAAATGATTAAAATGTGAAGGAAAAAAAGGATTGGCAATGTGAAACTTAATAATGAACAGAAAATATGCATCTTGTTGAGAAAATGATTAAACAAAAGCAGTTTATGATACAAAATGAAAGCCAAAATAATGCTGATGTTTTTTCTAGGCTAATTTCTCAATGCATGGATGAAAACTTATTTTATTTTACATCAATATTGAGTTTTTGTGTAATCTGATTATAGAATACAAATCTTGAAATATTGGAACAGATTACTATCAATCCATACATTGTAATGACAAAGGTAAGGTACATAGAGACAGGTGACTTATTTCTTCCCCACTCAATGAGCAAGTTAGTGTTCATAGGAGTACCAGAGTTAAACAGAAGATGTGATCAGTATACCAGTCTTTAAATATAACCAAAGATTGAAATTAATTGAAAATGTTGTTTACAGAAAATGAGAGTAGAAGGCTTGAATTACTACATGTATGCTCTACTGGCTAATTTCAAGTTTGAAAAGAGATAGATTTTAGCTTATGGTTGTTGTTTAATTAAGATTTATTTTATTTTAAAGGTTAATTTATAATCTTGCTAGCTGCCTACCTGGTGAGAGTTCCTTGGTCGTGGTTTTCTTGGTGAAAAGCGTTCCATCTGGTCGCGTCTCTCGCGAGGTGGTAACGCTGCCGTTTGTTCCGGTTCGGGTGGTTGCTGATCGGCGCGGTGTTCCGGTGGGAGTTTTGGATGCAGCTCCCTGCTGCCAAGGTCGAGAGATGTTACGCTTTTCACGGATCTAAAGATGGAATAAAAGTATATAGAATGTTGTAATGGCGTAAGACATTGGAAGATGATCTCTGTACTTTCACGATGATATGAAATTAAAACACCAACAAGACACTAATTTCTTTCTATCACCTCCATTTATTCTGAAAGGAAGCAACCATCTGATTCCTTTTGCCCCCCTTTATCTTTCCTCACTTTTCCAAGCAATGTTTTGTACATACATGTATAATCCAACCACTTACATGTAGCTGGGTAATCAGCCAAGTACTGCATCTTTTATTCTCTTATCGATTCAAATCAAGCATACAATAGAATAAAAGTTGCTATACATGTATTTGAAGTGTAAATACATGTTTATACAAAACAAACTTTAATTCATCTATACTACCATCATACCAAAACATTCAATTGCTTTGATTCTATTTGTTTTCTAATTATAGTTATACTAATAAATCCATTCAATTTGTCAATTTCAAGAACAAATAAGGCAAATGTTACATACATGTATTTGGACAATCATTTCCACCTTAAATAATAATGTCCCTTAAGCCAATCAGAAGTGCCCAAATGACCAGCTGTGATACTTTTTACGATCAAACAAAATCCAAAATAGATTCTATCAAGGTTTGTCAAGTTTATACTGACCTTGATGAGCGGTTGAGAGTAGCTCCTGGAGCTGGTGCTACCTTGGCTAGACTCTGAAGGTGACCTTGATCTTGGTCTCCTGCTGAATGGCGTCATGGATTGACTCATACCATGAGCTAGCACAAACTTCTCTCTCAGCTCAATGTTGGTTCGTCCCTTGGCTGTGGAGGTGAATATGAAAACATGTCATAAATACATTGTATATATACATATACATGTAGATGTACACACATGTCTGTCATCATGGCTCTGGCAGAAAGACGTAAGCATGAATTATGGTACAATTTGGTCTTAAAATGAAAGTACAGAGAAAAAGCATGTCATGTACAAACTATCGTTATAAGATGTATCATTTTACACAATACATTGGGGGTAAATGTGGAGCTGTTGCTAAAGAGAGAGGGAAACTTCAAATTCATATTTCTAGAAATGTGTATAAACATGTACATTTGTACATCAATTGGCAATGCATCAGTTTGTGTTTTTCTACAGGAAAATACTCCCTCTTTTTTCATCACATAGTTTAAAACTATAATATACTTTACTGTTTGGCTATAATTTACATGGTGAGAACAATCTACATTATGAGTGTTACTCCTTCTACTGCTCTCACCTCTGCACGGGTCATTCTTGACGAGGAATTCATCCAGAGCCATCCAGCCTCCTCCTACGCGCACCATGACGGTGCTACGCAGGATACGCACAAGACGCATCTGCTGCGATTCTCCAAACTAACAAACAAAAGAAATGGAATATGTTTAGAAAGATGTTGACATGAAATTCATTCTTTTCTTTCTAACTTTAGTGTTGAATCTCACTATGATTTCTTCTTATAAATTTCATGAAATGTCAAATGTACAGCGTATACAGTGGTTTGTTTTCCTTTTTTCTTTACCCTATCTACATATAGAAAGCTTGATTTAAACATAAAGACAAATAAACTTGTCAAATACATCAAATTTGAGGAAAGAAATGGACAGATATATAATTGTGGAAGATGTAGAGGGGGAAAAGGGCAGAGAAAAGGAAGAAAATGGAGAATTGCTATAGATTGCATGTAGCATAAAGGTACAAGAAGAGAAAATACCTCAGTAACTAACCAAAAAGAAAAAGAAATCAGACAGGCTGCCGTCCAAAATGGATGTTAAAGTTGAGAGAAGATGAGTACGAGTTTAAACATACTCATTAAAAATGTACACAAACAAATGTAATACAGTCAAAGAAATCTTTACAAATTGTATTCTTTTTTTTTTACTCACCTTGTACTTGCTCTCTCCAATTCTAAGGACTTTGAACTTCTTTTGGCAAGTACATTGGGAGCATTGCTTTCGAACCTGTAAGATAACAAGAAATAAATAAAATAACATTCAATAACATACGTGCGTCCATCAAATATTCTTTTGTTATACCTACAATCTAGACAGATAAATTTCAATCCCTAAGCAAACTTTGATAACTATTTACAAGGCCCGTACTGAGTGTAGACAAATCTTCCTCATTCTATTTGATCGTCTGTGAAATTGTGTGTTCTTCTTTTTTTTATATGTGGTTTTGAAGTAATTTGTTTTGACCTTAAAAAACCTATTAACTTATGATCGACAACACTGCTTTGGTGACAACTAGATGCAACAGTATACTATCCCCACATGTAATTCATCTAACCTAAACGATCATGACCAAACCCGAACCCTAAATCTTTGACAAAATTCATCATCACGCCTTGAAACTATACTGGCATATTTTACTGTTGATAATCATGCAGAAAACATTTAAAGCAGTTCAGTTCAGTTCAGTTTATTGAATTCCATCTTTAAAAACATTTTTACAACGGAAGAACAGAATACATTCATTTAAGCAAGACTTACCTCATCTTCGATCTTCTCTGCATCACTGGTTGGTTTGCCAGATGACTTCTCCGGCCAGAGCGCTGCGATGAACTCCTTGTAGTCGATATATCCGTCGTCGTCACGATCAAATTTGTCGGCCACGGCGTTCATCTCAAGCTGGTTGGTTGGGAATTCTGGACAAGAAATGAAAAGTTGATTATGCGTTAATAAAAAGGAAATGTAAAATGTATCTTCACACTATATAATTTGTCATAAAAATTGTTTTTCAGCATTTCATGCATCTTTTAAGTTACACTGGCAAATTGTAGAAGGGTGTTCACACCTTTTTCATGTCCAGCCACTGATTTCATAAAATCGAGTACGGATCCCGAAGAGAATATAGGACATGTTCACGAGCATTAGAGAAGGAAACACACTGCATCTGTCTGATTAAATATTTAGCAATCAACTACACAATAGTCAGGGTTATCTTCTGCCTTATATGTAAATAAACTTCCTACAAAAAAATTATTTGAGAAATCAGTCAAAAAAAGAAGAAGATGCAATTACAGGAGTATTACCCAGTGTGATTAGCGATTTCCCTCATTATATACAGGTGTACAACTACACTTAAATACTTTGGTTTTGTTAAATCATGCCTGTATCCTTCTTTTAATCAAGCTGTACTTTGTTTGTACTCACTGGAGTTGATGATGCCATCACTGAACTCCATACGAGTTAGCTTGCCATCACGATCCAGATCCAGCTTGCGGAAGAAGTCCATGACTCGAGCCTTCTTGTGTTTCATCCATTGCAGGTAGCGCGTGCGCCACTCGTCAAAGTTGAAGTTGCGCAGCTTCTGGAGCTGAAATTGGCAAACACAAAAGGAAACGATAGTCAGTTTAATTCACCCATTTTTCAATGAACTGTTATAAAATAAATCACTAAAACTAGATCAATACATATTTTAAAAGAAATTCATGGAGAACCAGTACTTTCAAAATTAAAATCACTTGCACTTTGAGTGCAAGTAAAGAAATCCCCTGGTTTTCTGTAAGGATAGTTTAAGCAATGAAAATTCTTATGTATTTTTCATACCATTCAAGTCATGAAATCGTTTGTGTGCTGTCAAGATAAAAAATGGGCTATTGGATGAGCATGTTTCCTAAACAATGCACAGTGCACAATCCTACTATTAACAGTTTGCCATGACCCAAGCCGACTGGCAAACATAAATCATTCCCTTTACCTGTGCCTGCCTATCGAGGGCGTCCTGTAGCCTGCGTCTCCTATCCATGGCAACAAGCCACACCTGCTTCCACTTGTTGTGCAGTGCTGCCACGCGTGGGTTGCGTGAGTCTGATCCGGGGCTCGGGTCGCGGCTACGAGGGCGGCTACCCTTGCCGCGGCGGGATCGGTCAAGCTGAGGAAGGGCGGAAGGACTGTCCTGAGAGCGACGGCGCTTGTGGGCTTTGGTCAGGCGGTCAATGTCGGGCTGCTTCTGGGCCATAGAGTCCTCAAAGTCCTTGAAGAATGATAAAAGACATACATGTTAGTAATTAGTATATATATTGAATAACGATGAACTGTCCTCCTTTTTAAAAAAATCATTGTCACCATAATAGCTTTCACCACCATCATCACCATGAACATAATTCACTTCATCAACCTCTTTCATCATCATAGCCATCATCAATCTAATCATGAAAATATTTTTAACATCATTATCATCATCACCATCATCACCACCATCACCACCATCATCATCATCATCATCATCATTTCCTGTCAGTGTTCCTACCTGATGTTCTTTGAGCAGAGCTTGGATGCGGTCTACATCCTCCGGAGTGGGTTTGGAGTCCCTGTCCTGTAGGACATGTTCAGACTTGTTGAGCCAGTCCATCAGCTTCTCCAGGAGTTCTGCGTTCTCTGCAAGGTTGTCCAGGGTTTCATCAAGGCGGTCTGATTTCTGGTCAGAGAGGGCCATCACCTGTACATAAGAGGAGATGTAAACAAACTAGTATTAGTAGAAGCAAAGAGACTTTCATTGCAGCAGCATCCAGTGGTCTGTACATAAAAATCACGCCTTCAGCAAAACTTTAATTGGTAGAGCATTACTATATTGCCTCATTTGGAGGCTTTGGTATTCTACTATGATAAAACCTTTATAGACTGACTGAATTTCTATTTCAAAAATTAGTTTAGTGGGTCAGAACAATAAGAAGAGATTTAAACAACTTGATCTACCGTACATTCCTAAAATGTTAATACCAAGTCAGTCTTTTTGTGGCAAGAAACATGCAAATTGCAAATATAAAACAAAAAAGAGTTGTGATTCCATTATTTCCAGGCATAGAACTGTTGTGAATCTTGACCATTCAAAAGATTTTCTGGTCTAACCAGAAAGTGACCGACAGACTGACCTCTTCCCATCTGGCCTGAAGAACAGTGATCCAGTGTTTGATGACCGGTACAGCCTCTGGATGACACTTAGACAGGATGGTATCTCCCATCACGCAGGCATCGTTCATCCTCATCTCCTGTGAACCAAAGCTATCCTTGAAGTCCTGCACAACAACAACAGAAACATTGAAAGAAGAGGCAATGATAAATGATCTCCATGTGTCAAATTTTGTCTCTTGTATCTGGTACAGTCTTTTTTTTTCCAGTCTCAACTCCAACCCATTAACTTGCCAAAATGCGATTCTTGAAGACATACTTAACTCATTAGGAATATAATGTCTGTTGAGAGCCAGAAGGCTGTTAACGTTGTGTTATAGTATATGACTTAAAGCCCTTCTGGCTCAAAACAAACAATTTAGAAGGATCAAATATACTAATGAAAATAGAAATGTCCACAAACAAGGCATAATATCTTTAACTGTTCCTCTCAACTCAACTACTAACAATGGCTATCAAAACTAAGGAAAAGATAGTGTTTCCAAAACAATGACACATGGCTTTAGTCGGACATACCATATTATCACTACCATTAGCATAGGATTTCAACGCATTACTACAACCATGAATGTAGAGAATAAGCTATTCTGAAATGTGTTGTGATGTTTCATCGTCCCACTTGGAGTTGAGATGGGATGAGGGTGACCTATGAGGGTGACCTATGAGGGTGACCTATGAGTGTGACCTAGCTACCTTGTGTGTTTCCATCTGTTCTCTGATGACCTCAGGGTCATTGCTAAGTGGACCCTGGAATCGAAGGCTCTGTTCTGCATCAGCTAGCCACTCCAGGAGCAGCTGAACAATGTCATGGAAGTCTTCAGCCTAGGAACATGAGAAAGTAACATGGAGGAAGGAGGTCAATATGCGATTTGGAGAATAGGCTACAAATGTACAGAAGTCATTGTAACTTTCATTCCCCTTCTCCCTTCTGAATATTCATCTTCACTCATATAACTCATGTACATTTATCACATACTAATCAAATTTTGAACTAAACTCTCTCCCTCTACTTTCTGCACTTACAATTCACGAAACACAATTCTATTTTGTGTATTCTACATGTCTATATAATATATATCTTTGCATATCTCTCCACATCAGTTTCTTTCATAATGTGCCTTTCCAACCTCTCTATCTTCCTCTTTCTCTCATTATTTTCCTTTAATCTCTTCTCTCCCTCTCTTACTTTCCCTTCATTCTTTTCTTACCTCCTTCATAGCATCCTCTAGCCTCTCCTGCTTGTGTACGCTCTGTTCGCACACTGTCTCCCACTTGGAAGCCAGCTCCTGGATCTTAGCTCGGAGATGGGATGTATCCTCACTGGATTTATCCATCAGGTCCTTGGCAGACTTGTTGACGGACTTGACACTGTTCTTGCGGCTCCCTAGGTCTCGCTGGAAGCCCTGTCAGGTTAACATTAACATGTATGCTTAGTGTCAAAGATTCTTTTCTTAATACCTTTACAAGTACATGTATAACAATTTGGTTTTGACTCTCTTAATAGATTAAGTTTTCAGATGACACTCATCAAAATTGTATTATATATGTACACGTGTACATGTAGGCCATATACATGTAAGAGAGAATTAATGGCTATCACAACTGGTAAATAAGGTGTCATTAGTCATTCTTGTTTAGTTATTAGTCCACAAAGTGTACTCATTTCTCATTCCTACATTTATGGATGATATCTTTTTTAAATTGTATATGTTTCATAGAAGATAAACAATGTGAGGGGAATTTTGCTGTAACAAGACTTATATTACGATCACAATAAAATATAAAATTTTTGCAGAAGTCTTACCTTGTGAGCTTCCATGAGATTCATGACGGTGTCGATGTCACCATCTACAGGTGTCTCATCTGAGAGTGTAGGTTCCACCTGATAGAGCCACTCCAGGAGAGCTTGTAGAGCATCCTTGAACTGTCCACTGTGCAGGAGAGCTTCCTCAAGCTTCCTTTGCCTGATTCATAGACAAAACATTCAAAATCGTTTGTTGGTGTAAAAAAAAAAAGATTTAGAGATTGTGTTTTTCAATGTGAAATTTACTTGCACATTTCATCCTCATTGTACTGGTGGCTTATCATTTTCAAAAGCTGTGAAATAAATAAAATCCATTAAAAACGGAAAATAAAGTGAGGACAGCATAACTTTCAGAAAGAAATGAAAAGCCCTTCTCACCTGTCGACCGACCTGCCACAGACCAGGTCCCACTCATCCTTGAGATCAGTGAGCATGCCGTTGATTGTCTTGGTGTCAGCAGGGTTGCTCTTATCCCTCAGGGATCGTCCAGAGCGGACAATGTTGTCATAGAGCGGCTGCTTGGCTCCAAGGGCACGTTGGAAGTCCTGTGGGTTGAGTGCGGGTGAAGAAGGTTAGTGGCAATTATGCACATTCAAATACATGTACATTAAAAAGTTAGTTCAATGTACCATAATTTCATTACAAGTAGGAGATACGATCAATACAAATGTACATGTATGCTGCACATACATGTAGCAAATAAAGAATAAACACATTTGTAAACATGCACCAAAGTCCTACTTGTAAGTGAACTGATGGTTTCAGAATAATAACATTGCATGCAAAATAAATATTAAGAAGGTACATGTACTTGTACCTATTTTAATTCAAACATTTCCTTTCCCACTGTATTGTGCAGCCTCGTCTCGGATATCTTGTACGTGTAAAGTATCCGAAGAACATTTGCGCACTGTACTGGTAGACCTCAGAACTGTAGGCTATTGTCACAAAGTCTTTCATTCTGTAGCAACAAAAGCTGCTCATACAAGATAACATTGGTTGAAAGATACAAGTAGAATGATCTCAACTCATATTCTTTGAGAAAGAGTCAAGGCCTTTCTGGCTCTGAGCAGACGATGTCTTGATGAAGTCACAGAGTACAGCTAGCTTACCTTGTGCCTACGGAGCTGTGCTTTGAGGGTCTCAGGATCACTACCGATAGACTTGTCTTGGTCTAGTTGGGCTTGTGAGTCCGTCAGCCAACCAAACAGCTTGCCATACTGTTCATCAAACTAAAAAGAGAGAAGAAACAAGAGAAATCAATGATAAAAAATACCCTTTTCTGCACCATCATCTCACAACCATGAAACTTGATAAAATATATAAGTTTACTTTAAACAGATGTAATTCAATGTAAGAGTTGGCATAAACTATCTTCAAGGGGAATAAAAGATTTTGCACATATCTGTTTCAGGAATAACCACTAGATATTCTCAGTCTATGCATTCATGTACATAAACCATACCATACATGTACACTACCATCATTCGGCATATCATTAACCTGGATTTACATGTAGCCAGGTTTCAATAACATGGTACTCGGTACAAGACTTTCATCCTCCCAGGTACCTACTTCAACTGGGTCGAGAGTGGCACATGTAGATCAATGTCTTGCCAAAGGACATCGGTGCCATGGCAGGGATTAAAACGACACACCATGTGGTCTATAGTCTAGTAGACCATGGCACCTGTACAACATTTATAATTATTCTTGATCAGAAATATCACTGTCTTTATTCCATGAGATTCCTTCATCCGATTTCTCACCTGTTTGGCCCGCTTGAAGCCAGAGTCCAGCTGCCTGGTCCTGTCATTGCATCGTGACTGGACCTTCTCCCATCTGTTCTGAACGCTGATCAGAAGATTCTTGATGAGGATGACATCCTGCTTCTGACTGAAGTACTTGAGCTGGGTGCCGGCCCGGTCTAGATCGCGCATGGTCTCCTTGTGGGCTTGGATGTCCATCAAGAAGTCCTGGGCAAAACAAGAAGAGTTTAGCGGTGAAGACAGTGTTTAAAGACAAGGAAAGTGATCTTTATAGGCAGGTTGTCATTGCATGTACATTGTATAGGTTCCTTTCAAACAACATGTTGTATGTATAAAGGAAACTTAGAAGTATGTAGTTTTCAGAATTATCTGGAGGACTTCCTACCGCAGATTAAAGAGAATTCAGTTTATTTGTGAGAAGGCAGATCTCTTGAAGTCATTGGGTTATATGCTCATAACATGAGACCTATCGATCTGAAAACCAACCTGCATGACCAATAACTTATCTACCCATCAGGGGATTTGGCAGATCGTGCAATATCTCCCACAGACACTTATAATAATCTTTTAAAGAAGTCTGCATTTCAGTTTCTGAAAGAAAAGGCTATGACAGCAACTGCCTACTTTTGAAGAACATCCAAAAACTGTGTCTTATAAACTTCTCTTGGCAGTGTTTTGAGTGTTTGAATTGCTTAAGTACCTTGTGTTCAGTGATCTGTTGGTTGATGGTGTCCAGGACAGTACTGGGTGGTTTGCTGCTGTTCATGGTCTTCTCAGCAGTAGTCAGCCAAGAGATGAAGGCCTGCAGGGCATCATGGAAGTTCTGGGCTTGGGTCAGAGCATCCTCCAGCTTGCGCTGTGGGGTTGGTAGATGAGAATGGAGGGTTTAAGAATTAGATTCAAACTTATTCAGTTGAAAAATTCATGTTTTAGAAAGCATTTCTGTGTGTAACAAGCAAGGATAATTTGAAACAAGCATCCTGCCCGTCATTTGTTCTTAATTGCTTTCTTTCTCTGGTTCTGTATATCTCTGGCTCTGTCTGTCTTTGGCCGTCTCTTTCTGTCCCTCTGTACTGTCTCTTATTTCAGTGTCTCTCTTTCTCTTTCTCTCTTCCAGTCTCTCTGCCCCTATTTCATGATTCATTTTCTCATGCACTCTCTCTCTCTCTCTCCTTCTATCCGACTCTCTTGCTCTATTTTTACATTGCTCTTTCCCTCTCAGCATCTCTGTTTACATGTTTCTTTTCACCCTCTGTCTAAAAATATCTTCATTCATTAAATTTTTTTGTTTGTTCAAGTACCTTTCTGTCGGTTGCCTTCTGATTAGCAGCATCCCACTGCGCCTGGAGGGTCTTGAGGGTGTGGCCTACCCCGCCCTCTCTATCGGCCTCCGGTCCTGACTGGCGTTTCAGCTGTTGACCAGCCTGCATCAGCGAGTCAAAGGCCAGCTTCTCACGATCCATATGCTTCCTCAGGTCCTACAAGCAAGATCAATTTTGATGGAAACATTTTAGAATGTACAGAATAAAGAATATTCTTCTTCATAACCATGCATTCATCGAACTGTTCATTAGTATAGTATTAATGACTGCTTTGAGAGAAATAGTTGTTTTTATACGCTCAAGGGAAGGTTAGAATTGTGCTATTACCCGAGGCGTGCCGAGGGGAATAGCCCAATTGTAACCTTCCCGAGAGCGTATAAAAACAACTATTTCTCGAATATTAAAGCAGTCATTAATACTTTTATATGCCAAAAAAAATAGACTAAAAAATAAAAAATAAAAAATACTTTTTTTTTTTGTCAAAGGTGAGAGTCGAACTCTTGCGTACAATGAGTGATGAATCTTACACCAACGCCTTACACCACTCGGCCATCGCGCGCTGTTCACATGCTTGGCAGTTTTGTACAATATATACATTAAAATGGATTGAAACCGGCTTCGGCGTGATGAATGCTTCGCAAAAGCACCCTTCTTTTACTTTTGCAATGCATATTGGCACGAACTTAGATCAAGATCTATCGGCAGATGTTGTTTTTTTGTTTTTGGAAGTTTATTTTCGTCTTCATGTCAACAATGCAAGATAAAATTGTCGGTAAGATCGATCGAGATTCAATTGTATTGAAATTACCGACCAATCCTTCGCACACATACGGTATCCTCGATCACTCAAACCATTTTTTAACATGTAAACCTATGGGGTAACCATGGAGGCTGACCTATTTTTTTAATAACCATGGTTATTAAAAATATTAAATGTTTTATGCATGGTTACCGGGAATTTTACAGGAACAGTTGAAGTTTATGAATGCAATTTCGACCAATCAGATGGCTGGATTACTTAAGTGAGGTATATAACAAATATTAAAAAGCATAGTCAATCCATCTCTCATGAGTAAGATTGTCATAACACTGATGTTGCATTGCATTGCACACACATGTTTGCAGGATATATCAGACATGTATCTACACTGTAACATCCCAGATCTAAAATGTATATTTACATGATGTAGACCCGTATGTATTCAGCACTGTCAAGTTACAAAATACGATTACTAATTTGTATTTATTTATAGTAAGAAGAATTGAAAAAATGCCCAAAGCCGAAAATATATTCTTTTTTCTCATCAGACATCTCCCACAAGAGGCTATATAATTTACTGGTATATGATATAATTTTATTCTACATCATTGGTCTTGATTGGGTTATATGAAAATGACTTTCGGGGTGGATCAAGGTGAGCCATTTCTTACATTGTGTCTGTCCAGTTGTTCCCTAGCTGTCTCCGGCAAGCCACCTACAGGCTGGCTGGATGAGAGCTGTCCATTGATGTCATGGAGCCAGCGGAGGAGACGGGTAGCCTCCTCAGCAAAGTTTTTGGTCTGAAATAAATAAATGATTGATTAAATTAAAATGTAAGCTTTGTAAAAAAGGACCATCAAATAAGTTGATCATCATTATTATCTACCTTCAAACAACCGATTCCTTTCTTCACCAATATAGTATCAACATTCTCCATATATTATTACCATATCATCGTCAATATTAGTTTTAGATACAAAATTGATTCAAGTTATGACATAAATCTACATGTTATAATTATGTTCATCATTACTATCATCATCATAGCCATCATCATCATCATCGTCGTCACCATCATCATCATCATCATCACCATCATCACCACTACCACCACCACAATCATCATCAGTACATCCTTCAAACAGCTTTCTCCTTACCTCTCCAAGGGCTCCCTCTAGCTCCCTCTGCCTGCCGTCACTCATCCTGGTGAGGTTGGCCCACTTGTTGTTGACATCGTCCAGCTTGCTGCGGACCACGTTGGCAACCTGCCTGTTGTCTGCAGACGCTACAAAGTTTTGGCCGGCCTGGTTGACGGACTTCACGCTGGATTCGTGAGCCATGATGTCATTTTGAAGCACCTAGTAAGAAGAAGATTTACATGCATTGGTAAATCATAATGATACACAATGCTCCTAACATAATCATTAAGGTGACATATCTGAATCACACTTAAGGTACTACTTAGCCTAATGAAGGTATAGACATTTACCAGCTCCATGCCCTGATGATATTGTTTTAACTTTTCAACAGTTACACATTTTGACTTTCTGTCTTTTCACACCCTTACTTTTAGCTAAGCCACCTCATGATCATACCTTCGCCTCTTTTCACTCCTCATATATTTGTCATTCTTTATAGTCATACAGGGTATGTTGCACCATAATTGTTTCCATTAAACTAGAATGGCAACCACTTTCCATTAGGATAGACCCTGAATAAGACTCACCTTGTGCTTAGCTAGTTCTATCTCTGCACCCTTGGTATCTCCCATCACTGGTCTCTGGTCACTCAAGGCCTTCTCGGTTCGGTTCATCCAGTTCAGGAGTTCATCCAGAGAGCTCTCAAGCTGACCAAGGGCCAAGAATCCAGCCTCAAGTTTGTGCTGAAATACAAGAATAGAATAACTTTCATTTAACTGGAAATTTGTAAAGCATATAGTGAGATGTACTGGAAAAATTCTATTCCTTTGTGGAGATTGTATTGTATGTGCACACATACATAGTTTATACCAATATATGTGAAATGCTATCCATGGAACAAGCATAAGGTATAGAGGACTTTCTAAATCCTGAAACTTTTTGTTCTTTAGTTATCTTTTTCCTCTTCTTTCACCTCTTTTCATTCCATACTTCAATGCATTCTATCTACTTTTCTGAAAGTCATGTTGATCTGACTTATTCATGATACTTTATGGAAGGTCGAGTAAGTGAAAGAATCTTACAGGAATGCATGTGGAATGTCAATAACATTTGTTTATCAGATCAAGGACAAATAAACATTATTCATGGAAGGTATAAATAGGTTGATACGTTTAGTTCTAATCCTCAACCTTTTAGAGTGAAAGGGAGGACATCTTTACCTGTCTGTCAAAGGTCTTATCCTGGAGGTTCTTCCAGCGTCTGTTCATGTCACTCATAGGAGCTTGGACAAGCTCCTGGTTCTCTGGAGTACACTTGGTGAGGAGACGGTTTCCGAGCTGGTTGACGGTCTCAAGCTCGAGGTTGTTGCGACCGAGTTCCTTCTTGAAGGCCTGGAAGCAGCACCAAAGATAATCAATTCATTATTGTCATTTCATGTAGATGACCTATGACCCATTGTGGAACACATACATAACATACCAAAACATTCCCAGACAGTTTGATTTTCAGTGTCATTGTATCTACACATTGAAGAGCACGTTCATGCTCATACGTGTTTTCTATCAAATAATAATATAGAACACGAAAAGCTGAGTGCAGGTCATTACACTAAAAAATATTAAGTAATAACAGCCAAACCACAAAAAAATGTGGTCTTCATCAATAGGTGGTCTTTCTACACAGGTGGTCACTGGAGCAAGTTTGACTATCGTCAAACACATATTTCTGTGTGTACATCGAGCTCTTCTACCGACATGATTCAATATATATTTCTGTGTGTACATCGAGCTCTTCTACCAACATGACTCAAGACATGTTTCTGTACTTACATTGAGATTGTCCAGCTGTCTCCTGACCGTCTGTGGATCCGATCCAACTGCTGGCATCCTATCCACCTGTTCTTCCGCCTTGGTCATGTAGTCATTCATCCTGTCCAGACCGTCCTGGAACGCTTGAGCCGCTTCATCGGCATCGTCCAGCTTCTGATGACGATCCTTGAAGGCATCGTTGAGGTTATCCCAAGAGTTGTTGAGTTCATCCACGTTCTTCTGGACCTCTGGTTTGTTGGAGTCGCTGCAATGGGTCATCAGGTCCTGGCCGAGCTGCTTGGTCATCTCCACATCCTGCTTGACCGCATCAATGTCCTCCTTGATGGCTTGCAGGATATCCTGATTAAAGAGGGGGAAATTCCACCAAATTTAGAAAACATTCTTTACATTTAGCTTGGATTTCAAATTTGAAGTCCTACTCTTCGTCTAAAATACATGTATGTCCAATATCATTCTGATTCATAACTACTATAATCAATGTACAATATCAGACATTTGTACTTCATAAATGCAAAGTATTCTTTCTGATCCTATAGCCTGTATGCATACAATATCATTAGGCATGTTCCCACTGCTGCTACATACCTGTTGGTCCTTGATGGCTGGGATCTCAACGGCAGGTGGTTCCTGACTCTTGATCTGATCTTGAAGATCTTTGATGGTTCCAGACGTACCGTTCATCTCCTCCCAGAAGGATTCAGCAGAGTGAAGGGCTTCCTGTAGATCTGCAGAGCGCTTGTTGGCTGTGGCCGTGATGTCATCCCACTTGTTGCTCATCTGGTCGAGCTTGTCTTTCAGATCTGAAACAGAACAGCAAGCATGAAAAAGTTAAAAATATATCCACAATGACCATTCATATACTTTTCTGAATCTACACTGTATTACATAAACTTGTAATTCTTTGAAACACAAATCCTAAGCACAACAGGTTTGTCATATTTTTTCAGTACTTTACTACTATATATTCATATAATCATGTGCACGTTACATGGCGCTTCTTCAATTTGAGTTACTAGAATATTAAGTTATTTCTATTCCAATATAGATATTGTTCTTGTGCAACTGACAAAAACTAATACAAGAACCATTTATCTTGCTGTCAATGTGGAGAAATATTTTGTAAAGTATCATGCTGCAACCGAATCAAATATCACCTGACACAACACTGCACTATTGCTGCACTGCGCTTTGAAATTGTTTCTTTTTGCTGAAATGGCAGTTGCTTACAACTTGTGACATTTTCTGGCTTATAATGACTGTACACACCTAATTCATACAATAACCAATATAAATAAAGATACTGTCATAGTAGAAATTTTAATTTTACCTCTGACATGCGGGTCACTTGGAGATGATGCCTCGATCATCTCATTACCAGCCTTACGCATCACATCTACAACATCCATTTGGCTATCAATGTTATCTCTCAGGGCCTGCCAAAAAAGAGAAAAAAATAACAAGGATTGTATTCACTGAGGTTGATTAGACGACTTCAATATCACAAGAAATTTGTTGGTGTTGTGTTAAACCACACCGGCTTGTAAAATATACTTTCTCAAATGTTAACATGATCTCAATGTCATGGCTCTCATTCATTTTCTTTCTTCACTTATTCATGACTAAGTAACAATGCAATGTGATACTGAAGTGTACAACTTCAATCTCCCTGACAGATATGGCATACCTGTTCATGTAAGATAATCGGAGTAAAATCATTTTTATTAAATCGCTCTATTCCTCTCATGATTAAATCTTAAAAGACAATGACAAAATCTCAATAAATGAGATAATATTTATGAATATGATAAAAACTCATATATTTCAAGGTAAAGTTCACAAACTCACCTGCAGTTTTTTCATCTGTTTCCTAAGATGATCTGGATCAGCAGAGATGGGTTCTGGTCTGCTTAGTTTCTCAGCAGTGATGTTTAGCTGCTCAAGGGTGGAGTCAAGGTCTTCAACGAACTGAATGAGGCAAGACAAAAGAGAGAGTATAACATGGAATGATTTCTTGTGACAGACAGTGAAACCTGTATGTATGTACAAAGATTGGCTCTGGTCTGTCTAGACTTCTCAGCTGTACTGTTCAAGGTCTTCTACAAACTGGATGAGTTAAGACAAAGAGAGAGAGTATGTGAATAAATCCTCATGATTATACACTTTAAGTACAGTGAAACCTGTATACATGTACAAAGATTTGCTCTGGTATGCTTCGCTTCTTATCTGTGAAGTTCAACTGCTCCAGTGTTGAGCCAAGTTCTTCAACCAACCACAAATATAATATGGACATCATAATAATAGTCAAACAAACGTTACTCACGGAGCTTGTCCTCTGGAGCAGATCAAACATCTTCTCTCCCCTCTTGTTGACATCCTCCTTGACGTTCTCATAGCGACGGTTGTCATCATCTGCCTTGGCCTGTACACCCTGCGCTCCTGCACCGGGGCTGAGCTTGGCCAGCTCTGGAGCGATGCGGTTCAGCTTGTTCACGTGCTGCTGCTTCTCAGCTACAGTTTGCTTCATGAACTGAGAGTAGAATGATGAGATTAATAAATGAAATACGTAAAGTTTCCCAAATAGTAAAATTATTGGATATTAAAAACATGGTATAGCATTGATGTTTCATCAAAATTTTAGGTCTGCTTGTTGGTACTTGTAAATTGTTAAATTTAATATGAAAGTTACATATGGACTAGACTCAGGCGAGTCTCTTCTTCATTTTCAAGTTCCAAGTGTACATGAACAGTATATTAAGAACATTCATATTCTATTACAGTTACACATACAAATACAAAGTTTGGAATTCATAAAATAATTGTAGCAAATTCTATTTAACTTCAATCAAGATTATATGAATTATTTTTTTGTTTTACCCATACTTTAAAGACTTCGCTGACAAATGGAATTCAAGTACATGTACATGTACGTGTACATACAATTCTCTAGATTAGATTCCATACAGGTGCATACGTACATACTGTATTTGTGTAGGTAAAGGACAATGTCAATTCAACCGATATCATTATCAACAAAATTTCAATTCCTAGGTCAGAGGTCATAGTTGACTCACCCTGTTATTGTCGACCTCTCTCCTGATCTCCTCTGCATCCAGTCCAGGTGGTTTGAGGTTCTTCAGGTCACCTTCGACCTCGTCCAACCACTTAGTCAACTCCTCGTGTGACTCGTTGAACTGCAGGGTCTGTGGCAACGCTTCTTCTAGGACCTCCACACGGTCAGCACTCCTGGCTGAGAGGTCATCAAACCTCTGCTTCAGGTCATTGGCCTGGGATTCAAGGCGGGCTTGCTGGCGTGGGTCAGAGGTCTGCTCGATGAGTGCTTCCGCCGCACCAAGGGTGTCCTGGACTCGGCTCTGCTTGCCAGTGATTTCCTTGTCAATGGCCTGGAGTAAACAAGATAAAGTGAGCTTTTAGCATATTCTGCACCTAAATCTAAACTGTCATCGGCAACAACATACATGTAAAATCTAAAAAGACAGGGACTAATTACCCAATGTGGTAAAATGGTACATGTATGATCAAGACAGGTACACAATAAATTGGCAAATAAAATTATTCCCAACCAAAATTAAAGACAAGTTAATTGTGAAACATTAACAGCACATCCATTCTGAGTTCATCAAATGCAGACAAGAAATCCCATCATTTTCAAGATCCACCATAATTCAACACATCACATAGTATTTCCCTGAAAACTGTTCTGTGTCTTACCTTTGCTTTTTTGAGTTGATCCCTAACACCATCGGGTTCTACACTGATGGTTTCCCTTGCCTGGGTCTGTTGTTGTCTGTCTGCTTCATCCAGCCATTTCAGAAGTCCATCCATGCTCTGTTGAACCTGCATGTAGAGAAAGTAATAAGGAATTGAAGAAAGGACCATTCCACATGTGATGTCTCTGGGTTTAATAGAGCTTGATTACTCACTGATTTTTGTTACCCTCTATTTTTTTTCTCATGTAATTGTGAAAATGATCATATGTTTTGTTCTAAAGCAGCAGCCCAACCAGTATTTTAATGTACATTTTATGGGACTACACTCCTTCATTTCATTCAAGTTTGTTTGTAATCGTACTTGTGTTTAAAATGTCTAAATTTGACACTGAACTTGAAATTCAAGAGTTTAAAATGAATTTGAACATTAAAATTGAAAAATTGAAAACTTTTTTTCCCTTTCTAACAGAAATGAAATTGAAACTGAATTCTAAAATTGGAATTTGAATTTTACAAATAGAAAATGAATTTCAATTTCAATTTCGATTCCTGAGACGGTGACCTTCGACCTGATCTCACCTTCTGAGCACCATCTAGAGCAGCACTGAGCCTGTACTCAATGTCCTTGGTTCTCGAAGCAAGCTCGTTGAAGCGTTGGTTATCATCGTTGAGTTGCTGCCTGATCTCAGCGGCTCCTTGGCCTGGGCTGAGCTCGATGAGGCGGGTACCCTTTTCGTTGAGCTCCTGCAGGATGGGGCGGTGGCGATCAATCTCGTCTTGCAGTTTCTGGAGGGTGTCAAGGAGAAGGCAAACATTCCAAGTAAGCAATGGAATGGATGATGAAGGAAATGGAGTTGGAAATTATCAAAAGACACAAACAGATACAAGTTGGTTCACTTTACTTGATGATTTAAAGGTACGAAATGTTCTTGGCATTTTGACTACCGGTTCTGAAAGGCAATGAATTGTTAAATATTTTGCCTTTCAAAATTAGGCAAAAAGTCTGATGTTTAAAGTACATTTAATTTTGTCTGGGTTTTGTACGGGAAAATGTTCATGTCGTATAAGTTTAGCAAAATTCTATGTGTACTACAGTACAAGAAATGGATATCATAAAAAACTATGAATCAATTTCAAAGGAAAGTCAGGAGATATTACTAAAGCCTTCTGGAATGGTTTTAAGCATTCTTATGATTCATACCTCTTGGACTGCCTTCTGTGTCTCCACGCTAGCTGAGGGGTCAAAGTTCCTCAGGTCCTGTTCGGCCTTCTTCAGCCAATCAGCAAACTCGCTCTGTAGGCGGTTGAACTCATTGGCCAATGGGACAGCCTGTTGTAGCTGGCTCAGCTGGTCTTCGCTCTTCTGGAAGATGTTGTCATAGCGATTCTGGATGTGATCCAGTTTCTGCTGTACATCGCTGACCTCTTTGCCTATAGGTAAAGAAATGGAATGCTTTAAAACAGTGTTTGGACTCATCTTTGGTTGTTTCTGAGAGGAGTATCTTATTTCAATTTTACCTGCTGACTACTAAATCTCTCATTCCTATAAGTTTAATACAGGAACCACCCGGTTTTGTTTTGGTAGGCAATGTATTAAAAGCAATGATGTAACATCATTTGCATTACAGAATTTTTTTTAAAGCTGTCAAGTGTCCCTCAAAACCATACTATAATACATGTGTACATTTACGAGGATGTTACATGTACAACTGTATACATCGTATGCATAAAAACTATTTAAATAGAAATGTCTGGAAGCTTTACATCTACGGGAGGGACCTTGTCATTGTTCTTCTAAGAGCAAAACATTTAGTTATTTGGAGTAAGTATGATGTAAGTATGCATTTGAATAATGGATTTAAAAAATGAGAAAAAAATAGGTCTGGATAATGCCAGCAGGTTTGTGCAATAGCAAACCAATGTACATGTACTTCTGCATTTAAATTAACATGCAGTGAAAAGTATTGTTAATATTCTTTACATATTTTTTAAACATCTCACCAGTGCATTGCCTGAGCAGATCTTGTCCATCCGATAGTACTTTCCTGATTTCCGGTTGACGATCAAGAACAGACGCATGTAATACCTGCAGACCCAAGTAGGACAAATGCCATGTTACAATGCAATCAATGATTCGGATCTATTAATAACTTCTTTCTACCGGTATGTATACATGTACATTAAAAAATGCAGTTTCCTTGATTACTCTGCATGTTCGTGTACATCCGTAAACCAAAGGAAGATATCACATTCCAATCTCTAATTATCTCTGTACTCACTTTTTCATTCACATGTACATGTAGGATGATCGAAATACACGTTACAAACATAGTACAAACAAAACCACAGCAATGATGAAATGTAATCTGCTTCGCATGTTTTACAGAGATGCAAGTGCTTTGAGAATGTTTGATTGGCACAGCTGGAATAGATTTATCACAAAACAAAATTATGAAATTCTAGATGCTTAAAGATCTTGCAAATTGCTGCATCAGATTCATAAGTAGTCATGCAAATATTTAGTAATGTAACATTGCTATGCCAACAAGTACATATAGCATACTTCCTTAAAATTGTAGTTTTATAAAATCATACAATAAAGGAAAGTAAAATTTAAGTAGCATGCAAATGGAAATCATGAAATATCTATAGTAATGCATGCTTCTACACTGCAAAGATAAAAAATGACTATTTAAAAATGATTTCACAAACATTCATGCACATGCTAGAAAACACAGACGAAATGCATAATGACCTAATGAATGGATTGGTAGTAAAAAATGATTATGCACTGTAAATATCTACTGAATATTCTAGATGATCATGTTCGCATATGAATACCAGTTATACATGTAATGTATGTTCATCTATTAATGAAATGCAGTACACCGGGACATCAAAATACATCTGTACATGAAAACTAGACCTACGAAAATGAAGGGGAAAAAAATCTCTACTAAATGAACAAGTAAATGAAATCCTTTAACAAATTATGATTAAAAAATTATGATAAATACAATTATGACTATAAAAATTATGATCAAATGTGATAAATACATAATCATGCAGTTAGACTACTATTACATGTATGGGAACAAAAATCATTGTAAAAATGATCTATAGAAATATAATGTATACAGGTGTTTACATCTACATGTACTAGAACATGTAAGAGAGAAAAATTGCACATGTACATACAGCACACAAGTATATGCTTGTGTACATGTATGTGTTAATAGAGGCATGGGATATGCAATGAGTTAGACAATTGAACATGACAATTGCACATGAAAAGAAGACAATCTTCTTCACTACCTCCACCATGAGTATAAAACAATAGAAGAAAGCCAGGCCTAAGATGACGATTGGAGAAGGGAAAAGGGCCTTTAATAAATCCAGATGTAAGAAAGATATGTGTAGCTTCCAATGAACCAAACAAAGAGAGAGAAAATCAGTTGAACACCAAGAATAACCAGAGTAACCAGTAGTTAGATGATGGCTCAAATAAGTAGGTTCCCAGAAAAGAACAGGATGAGAGTTTGGGGTTGGAATGAGTACCGTCTGGTTATCCAACTGCTTCTGGACGACTTCTGGATGGATAGATATCGGCTGCGGCCTGCCCAGCTTGCGCTCCATGTCTGTCAACCACCTCAAGAGGGCAGCCTCATCCTCACCGAACACCTGACTTGTAGCCAGGGCTCGGTTGAGGTCGACCTTCTTCTGGAGTGTCTTGTCGCGGATGTTATCGTAACGGTCCTGGACAGCATCAAGTCGAGTCTGGAGCGAGTCACGCTCTGAAGGAGACACCATTCGCTGCAGTTTTCGCCCTGCTGACATGGTTTCTCTGACGTCCGGGCCGTGGTTTTGGACATCTCTTTCCATGGCCTAATTCGGTGTTTGTTTCATAGGGGAGGGGTGCGAATTGTTAGTGGGTGTCTTTCGAGGAGGAATTGTGTGTTTAGTGAGGTCTGCCGAGAATAGTTTCTTTAGAGGTACAACGTATACACAATACAGCAAGGAATTAAGTGCTATACTGGCACATTGCACAACACATTTGACATGTAGGTACACAAAGAGAGGAAAGTCAACACATTGTAGCAGAGTGCATGAGATAAAATATGTTATCCTATATCTTTCTGCAATGGTTATTATTATCACAAGGTGGTTCACAAGGGGTAAAAACATGTAACAGCGACAGGTTTCCATTTTTATTTGTTGTTTGGAAAGGTCTGAAGATCAGCAACAGGTCAATATTCATTCCCACCCAAAATTATTTATAAAACCTCAGTCATAAAATGTGTTCAAAAAGGTTTTAAAAACATGGCTCAGATTACACCAGAGTGTATCTAAGAACCATGGAGCCCTTAAGCAAGGCATGCAGCCGGGCCACAAGGGACTTTGCACTTTGCATACATCCGTTCATACTTCTTCCATGTTCCGATCTTACATGTTTGATTTTTTATTTGTGTAACACCCTGGGTATCCCTACATAGAATTTCATTAGTATGTCCACGTACTCGTGTAAGGAGATACGATAGGTATCAGGACGATTGATAAATATTATGGGGCAAAAATCAAAGGGGAAATGGGTCGAACCACCAGCCATAGCCTTTACTAATTGAGTAGACCTTCTTCCAGTTCTTGTTAACGTTTCATTTCATTTGAAAACAAACACAATTTATTTGGTGTGGTTGATGAGTCATTGGGTCCCATGCATATACAGGGATAAGATTTGCAATATGCTCATTCATTTTAGACATGTTCATGTATGATACAGAGCAACTACATGTGTAAATCATAAGTTATGTTCATTCAATCATGCAAACACAATTCAAATGATTTGATACAAGCAAAGTTGTTTATTTTTTGTTGTTGTTGCTTGAAGTTACTGTACATGATTTTTTTTCTTGCATACATGTAAAAAGAATTTTTCTATTTACATTCACAATAATAATACAATAATGATGCAAAGAATAAATCTTTTTCATAATTACATGTATAAAGAAGCTTATATACAAAAAGGTTGTATCAAGCAGATTACAATAAAATCCCTTCAACATTTCCAAGAATTTGATAGTGCAACGTACATCAACATTTTAATAGCAAATGGAAACCAACAGTTTGTTTATTAATCTTTATATATATATGTAAGTTTTACTAGGGCATTAACATATATTTTTCTTTTCATTTTTTCAATTATGAAGATGCAATTTATTTCATTTTTAGCATAAGCTTTCAATATAAGTGTGAGAGACACAGATAAAAGCACTTTTAGTTTACTTGCATACATTGATTGCAGCTTTTGATTTTGTCAAATAAGATTTTGTTTTGTTAAACCTTACCTGTTGGTCCTGGATCTGTTTCTGGATTTGAGCCTTGTCCGTACTGACCGGCGGCTGTGATGCTAGTGACCTCTCCGTGGCGTCCAGCCATTGGGACAGCGGGGCGATCTGCTCGTGGAAGTCCTTGGCCGTCTTCTCTGTCTGCTCCAGCTTCTGGCGGCGGTCGCGCACAGCATCGACTAGCGCCCTCCAGCGGCGCTCCAGGTCAGAGAGCTGCTGTTGAATGCGCATGCGATCCTGAGGTTCGGACACCTTGGATAGTTGTTCACCCATCTCCTTCAGGGCATCAACGCTGGGCTCGCGATCAGTGATAAGACGATCAAGCAACTGCATAGAACAAGAACATTGCAAAGATATTTTAGCTGGGATGCCTTCAATAAACAGTATGATTTCAATCCATTAATGTTAAAAGAAACACATATCTCTGCAAATAGACTTTTCAAAGGAAACAAGGAAGGCAATCTTGGTTGAAGAATAGAATGTTTCCTACAATAGATATTCAGGTTTCTATAAGAAACTGTCGTTTCCCTCCAAAAGGTTTTCAGGTTTCAATGAGAAACTTCTGTTTCCTTTAAATAGGATTTACGGTTTCAACTGCTAATGGAAAACTCTTGGATTGGCATAATTATTATCAATGAATTACTACCCACATAAGATGTTCCAACATTTGATATCCCTAATGAATGTGAATGGTGGATGGTCCTTCCATACTATCACAGTCAACCTTTAACCCCAGACTGACCCTACACTGACCTGTTGCTCTGCGAGCTGAGCCTTGACCACCTTATAGTCTGAGGATGGGTCCTTCTGTGTGGAGACCAGGTCTTCTGTCTCTCCGATCCATCCCATGAGGGACTGAAGAGCCTCCTGGAACTTGCCGCAACGGAGGAGACCTTCGTTCAACTTGGCCTCGCGGTCAGAATTCTGAAATAATAGAAATTATCTGTTATTAAAAATTCTTAAAACAAGTTTAACTTCATATAAACGCATTGAAATTTTGATTTATAACTGATTGGGTAAGGAAAAACTGAAGATTGCAAGTGATTTCTTTCTTTCTTTGAATGTTGTTGAAATAAATTGGGATGAGTCGCATATATTCCTAATTCAACAGGAATCTGTTATTACAGATTATCATAGTCCCTGATGTTATTATATATTACTATTCATAGAGCAACTGTTAATTGTTGCTACATGAACATGTACCTGTATGTCAATAAACGTTGATGAAAATGTAGTTCATGTAAAGCTAGAGGAATATTCTGTGCAAAGTAGAGTTGATTTTTTTCAGACCTTGGGTTCAAGACCAGATTTTATCTCTTCTAAATCGTATTTACTTTTAATACATGTACAATTAGTGAGAAGTTAGAAGCAATTTCTGCCTAGGTACCTTTGCATGTAGTCTGTTCCACCTGTCGTTCATGGCCTCCATGTCACCCTCAAGTTGGTTGGTATTGACCCTTGGTTCTGCACTCTGTACAAGGCTCTGTCCAACTCTGTTGGCATCCCTCAACCTCGGTACCAATGGTTCCACAAAGTTCCTCATGTACGTCTTAAACTCCTTCTGCTGCTGTTTGACGGTGTCGACATCGGCGCCGACAGGCTTCTGCAGCATTTGTGCCGATTCAGCCTTGCCGAGGAGCTCGTCAACCTCACCCATGGTGTGCTTGAGATCTTGCATGCGTGATGTCGTGCGTTCGACGTCGTCCTGGCGCTTGTTGGCGCGCTCGCGCAGTCGCTGCCAGCGTTTGTTGAGGTTGTCGAGCTGCTCACGGAAGCTGTCTGAGTCAGTGAGGTAACCTCGGTCGATGATGTCGCGGAAGACACGATCAGCCTTCAGGAGGGTCTTCTTGATGTCTTCCAGATTCTGTTGATATTTCTGTGGACAAAATTAAAAGCACAAATTGAATGCTTATATATTGTACAGGTTCACATTTAAAGTGACACCATTGAACTTTGTAATCGTAACATCTTCCTGACACAAACATTTCAAAGTTCAAATGGATGACTTTATTAAAGCATACCAGTAATAAATGTAATTGCACAAGGGTTGAAATGACTAAAAACTCTTATAAGCTCATTTGTTTGATTACAACAAAAAAAGGGTTGAGACTACTGATAGACTACCTGTATAAACATTGCTAAAGAAAGATATGAATTAATGAAAAATAAGTAAATAGTTAAAAAATAGAAATAAAATAAAATGTACAGTATTTTAAAAGAAATTTGTGACAGTATAAAGCAAAAAAACATTTCCTTACATCAATCTCATCTGCCTGGGCCGCCAAGGTGTCGAGGTCCCTAGCAACGGGAGCCATCTTGTCAAGTCCATCCTCAGACTCTCCCAGCTGGAAGTTACAGTCGTTCAACATGGACTGATGATAGATAAAAAGGAAAGAATTTTGAAGATGACTTCAGATCCAGATACACATGGACAACAACTTCAAAACAGTAATACTCATACTTGTAAAAGTCATAGAGTACCGAAGCTGTGACGTCATAAAAATCTAATTTTAGAATTTCTCAATTTGTTCTTCACTTTCCAAAAGAGCATCAAAAATAATGTCCAAATGTCGAAAAACCATCTGAATAAATATATTTCCTATAGGAACTCAGTGTTATTTGCTCTGGCTCGTAATGGTTAGCCAGTGACCTTCAACCTACCTGGAATGAGAGGATCTCTTGGTTTCCAGCCTCCAACTGACCGTACCTATCCTTGACCAAACCCTTCAGCTTCTGGTAGCGCTTGACCACACCATCCACGTCATCACCCACTGGGGTGGTGTCGGCTCGTGGGGGCGCTGCAGCCATTAGACCACTGCTGTTGTCCTGGACCTTGACGATGGCTTGCTCCATGCCGTCGACCTCGTCTTGCAAAGCCTGGGGGGAGGGGAGAGTACAGTTAGTATGTGTTCAGTATGTAATGGAAGGTTACTTCTAAGGAATTTCAGGAGTAAAAAATTTGTTTTCCTTTTTTGGTCTAATATTCATTCCAAACTCGTAACATTGTAAAAGCTTTAACACGCTGACTACTGAATTCTCTCATTTCCATAGGCCTGTTACAGAAAAACACTATGAATGATACCAACAAAAAATTGTAAGGGATGAACAGAATGGATGCAATACAGATTAGGACTAGAAAGGAGAGAGTAATTGTAAAAGACATCTTTAATGTAAAACAGTCAGCATTAGGCCTGCACTAATGCAGGAGGTTAGTTTATTTATGTCATGTATCTCTTTGAATAAGTGAAGATGATTCTAATTTGTACTTTACAGGACTTTCTAAAAGGATCTTTGACAGATGAAGCTTCTTACCTTCAGTTTCTGGAGGTTCTTGGGGTCCAGTTTGCCTGGTGCATCATGTAAAGCTAGCTGCTCTTCAAAGTTGGCCAGTGAGATCTGAGACGTGTTGACGGTGTCGTGGAAGTCGTTGAGGCGGTTGTGGAAGTCTTCTAGGATTGCAAGCTGTTCTTGAAGATCTATGGAAAGGATCAAACAAGAGATTCAGAATCAACATCTTCATGGGAGAAGTTATGATATCTTTGACCATGATCAACAATAGATTCTTTGATAACTTTTATGTAAAGCGATGTAAAACAACAGTTAGACTTTTTTCATGTGAAGTCTATCATGATTTTATTAGCAGTGCTTTATGAAAATGTCTAATCTCTACATGTATATCACAATCATTCACACGGTTGTACAATCTTTCACATCCTTTTTGTCTCTCTTGTACAATCTCTCATCTCCTATTTCCATTCTTTCTTACCCTTCTCTAGCTCATCCCATCTCCTGTTGGCCTCTCCGACTTGGTCCTTGATGAAGGGGTGGTCGATGTCGGTCCTTGAGATGAGTTGGTCCGCTGAGTTGTTGACTGCTTCGTGGTGGTCGCGATGGTTGTCAATGTCCTCTTGGAGTTGCTGTTGGTACAGGAAATGGGTATATCATTTAATTGAATATATATGTCATGTGTATGAAGGAAAACTTGTTTCATCCTCACAATTATAAAATCCTCCTTGTAAATCATTGCAAATTTATGAGGTACACATTGGTTTGTTCATATTGTGGTTTAGATTAAGGCTGTCATCATTATCATATTACCGGTTCATGTTCGATATAACTGTTTTTTTCATGAAAAAATGTTCCTATAATATGAAAATACAGTACATACATACACTTGACAACAAGAAATGCACTTTGATGATAGAACAATGTCTGCTCCTAGGAATTGGTCAATGTTTTCATGAATGAATGTACGTCTCCTTTGAAATCATAATGTAAATATTTGTTCTAAGTTCTACACTGCATTTTTACTCACTTTGATGAGTTCATACTGTCTCCTAACCACGTTAGGCTTGGCCGTCACCGGTCCCAGCGAGCTCATTCTATCCTCAGCACTCCTCAGCCAAGGCAAGAACTGGTTCAGCTCGTCCGAGTACACCTTGGCCTTCTCGTTGGCCTCCTTCAGCCGCTCGCCGCGCTGTGTGGCCCTGTCGTTGACAGAGTTCCACTTGGTTTGGAGGGAGTCACGTTTGCCCTGGAGTTCATTCTTCTCCGCGGGGCTGTCTGCTTCGTCCTTGAGGGAGTCGATCTTCTCAAGCATGCGCTCGTAGGTGTATACTTGTTTGACGATCTCTTTGGGTATCTCCTGTATGGTGGGATGGGAAGGGAATCAAGTTTAAAATTGAATGGAAATGTTCTGAACTGGCCATCTTTATCAGTTCCTTTATTCCAATAACATCGATACCATAAAGCACTACAAATATCTTTTTTTTTAACGGTATCTTCCCTTTAACTCTATCTATGCTTAAATTGGTATTTGATAGAAACATGTTTATGATCAATGCAGTAGGTGGAACTACACAAGATGAATAACGTGCAAACACATGACAGCATTTCAGACTTATAGGTCTATGTTCCTCTTATGATCTTTGTTCGACGGATTTACTCGACAGAGTACCAAGGGTTAATAGAAGAGAAGACTGGTACCCTACCTCATGCTCAACCACCTGTCTCCTGAGTACCTCTGGTTTGGCTGAGATGGGTTTGACTTGGTTCAATTCCTTGTCCTTAGTGTCCAACCATCTCAGCATGCTGCCATAGGATTCCTCAAAGTCTCTCGACTGCAGAAGGGCGGCTTGGAGTTTACCCTGCCTCTCATCTACAAGTACAGAAAGTTTCCACAATGATGGATAATCAATTTGATCATAATACAATGACAATGATAAGTAGACTGATCCTTTGACATATATATGTGAGGGAAAGCTAAAGGTACCTACAAAGTAATAATATGTCCTTAGCTTTAAGCCCTGCTGCCCTAAGATGCTGAACGTATTTAAGATATTAACAGTAATTGTTGTGACAGGTGTTTCTCTTTGAAAGTGTTCTATGCGAAACTGTACATAACAATCACCTCCTGTCTATAATGATTCTTTTCTTGTGTTCCTTGAGCATTACATGTAATGAAAGCAAAGGATTAGTGTAGCCAAGAAAGATATGAAAACAGAGAGCAAAGAAATATACCAAGTTTATGGCAGAGGTCGTTGTACGGTGTCCTGACGCTCTCCAGTTTCAGCGTGACTTCTGCCTTGGCAGTCAGTTCAGGATTGAGTTCAGTCAGCTCCCTGTGTGTCTCTGAGAGCTTATCTTGCTGGGGTTTACGGCGGTCAGCCTCTCGTTGAAGGTTCTGGTGATAAAAGAGGGGAGAGTTGTGTCATAGGGAAACTACAAGGTACACGTCCCACAAGTTACAAAGAAATTATGAACCTAAACTGACACCTAAAGTATTATTTACTTGTCATTGTGTCTGATCTAAGCTCTAATGTAACAAAAGCCATCAGATATGCTAAAACCTTAGAGGTATTCTGTAATGTATGAGACAAAAATAGCTTGGACAAGCCCTATAACAAGCCACAGCATCACTGTTGTTAATGTACGTTGGTTTTATTAACATCGTTATCTTCATTTGCGAATTATTAATATCACTCTTAGCATCAAGTTTAAGCTTAAAGAGTTGAGTATATCATTTCAGTAAATCATTGATGCCATCATTGTATCTGAAACTCGTCTCCATGACGACCTACCTTAGTCTCCTCCATCTGCTGCCTGACGACCTCTGGGCTGTTGCTGATGGGCGCCAGGTTGGAGATCTTATTCCTGAAGTCAATCAGCCAGTCGGAGCTGTCCTGGAGGATATCGTGGAAGTGCTCGCTCTTTCGCAGCACATCGTCGATCTTGCCCTCCCTGTCGTCCAGCTGGCCCTTGAGGGCGTCCCACTGGTTCTTGAGGTCCGCTACCTGCTGTTGGATGGGCGAGGTGGTGCGTGACCTGGGGTCCTGCTTGTCCACGATCGCCTGGCCGGCCTCAAGGAGTTGCTCCATCTGTGGCTCATGGGCAGCGAACTCTTCTTGCAGAACCTACGAAACAAAACAAATATGTCACGTTAAATCATTACATGGCTAAGTTATCATGCTTGATAGTACATTAGTACTGGACAGTTGTCCAAATGTGCAGGTGTACACACGTAGGTTGATTAACATTTCATTTGATGTTAACTCGTTAGTTCTCAAATTCCTCCATTTCACACAAGATACATGCTGCTAAAAGTTCCTCCATTAGTGGTTCTTTGGCATAGAACTCCTCTCGCAGGACCTACACACATGAATACCAACAAAACATACAACATTCTATATCAAATCACAACATGGCTATTGCATACAGGTATGCAAGTTATTTCTAATACATGTACCAGTACATGTATGTCCTTTTCCGGTAGAGAGGTGTTTAAATGTACATTAACATATATATCCTTTGGTATTCATTCAATATTAACTTGACGGTCCTCTCTTTTCTCTACTTGATATCATGGATACACATGAGAAAAAGAAAGTGGGAGAGAACAAGAGAGAGAGGGGGAGAGAGCGAGAGAGAGAGAGAGAGAGAGAGAGAGAGAGATAGAGAGAGAGAGAGGAATGAGAGAGATGGGGAGTGAGAGAGAAAGGGGGAGTGAGAGAGAAAGGGGGAGAGAGAGAGAGAAAGGGGGAGAGAGAGAGAGAGAGAGAGAGGGGGGAAGACAGACAGAGAAAGACAGAGAAAGAAAGAAAGAGGGACAGAGAGGGAGAGAAAGAAAGTGAGATACGGAAACAGAAAGACAGAGCATGAGAGGTACATAAAGTATGATATAGAGGAGAGAGGGAGAGAGATAGAAGGGGGTAGAGAGAGGGATAGATGTAGAAATCTATATCAAAGCATACCACATATACATGTAATGTACTATTCGACATGTATCACCATGGGACTTTATTCCTAACCCTGTTAGATAATGATCACATTCTTTGGTGCATGCGGTAATGTATATATACATAAGATACTCAGTCTTTGAGAGCTTCTTTACAATACACTTCAAAATCTCCAGATTTCAACTTTGGTTACCATGGATACAATGAAAATACAAGAAACATACCCTTCCATCCCTTGTAGAAAGTAGAGTTTGCTTTTTAAAAAAATATTGACACTTTATTTTGTGTAAACCCTCACCAAGTGTATACAGAAAATTGTAACTCTCAAGGCATTTTTGTTGTTTATTCATTGGAAAATGAGTCAATATTTGCCTGTGTGAAACTTGATAGTTTGAGCCAAAGCTCACAGTTGGGCAATGGTCTTTTCAAGAATTCTGTTGAAAAATTGTGACTCACCTAAACTTTTTTCTCTTTCTTTCTTTCTTTCTTTCTTTCTTTCTTTCTTTCTTTCTTTCTTTCTTCCTTTCTTTATAGAAGCTTAGGTTATTTATAATAATTATATATATGTACATGTATGTACAAGCATACTAAAGGGAAAGTTCTTTATACTCCAAATGCTCTGAAGGACTGTTCTTTCCAAGGTTCCATTTTTCTCACATCTCTTCAGAGGTGTCTATGAATGGCTAATTACAAGGTCCTCATGAATATAACTGCGCCATGCTTTTGTTCTCCACAGGAAACACAGGTGTGTAATCCCAAGAATTAAAACAGTTATGTGGGTATTGGATCAAGCCATACAATGGATTAGCACCTAATTCAACAAAGTGATTAGAGGTCGTTGGAACAGTGCTCTTGAAATCCACTTCAGGCGTGTTTCCATTAGCTCCAGCTTTCAAACACCCTATTTATAATTCTGATGTTAGAAAATTAACACCATCAAAGACTATTTGTTGCTACATGTGGGTTTGCTTCAAAGTTAGGATATAGATATATTTAGTCAGTTACTTCACTGTGAGTCTAGCAGGAGAAAGGGTGGCACGTTCTGGATGTATTACCCATGAAAGAGTCTGCAACATGTGTTTGGCCAACTTACTGGGAAAACACACTTCTGACTTGGGTACTCATGCTCTGTATTTAGAGCAAACAGGGATCATTGGACTTGGGGTATGAAGACGGGGGAACTTCAAATTTAAACAATTTTCTCGAAAAGCACCAATTGGTCTAATGTTTCAACCTCAAGTTTCTTGGTCTAATGGAAAAGAGACTTAGGAAATTGGACAGGAAACTCCTCAAGATTGTTAACTCCTAACATGGCCATTTCAAGCAATCTAATGTCAGCATCTCGACCCCTTTCCAAGTGCCTCAACTTTACTCTTACGAATAATCCCCATGTCCCACTTACATTTTGGACCATCCTGCAAATAGAAACTGTTTTGAAAGTTTGGAATGGTTTTGTAGGTGGGATTTCAAGAGCTTGAGCATGTGTGCAGTACATCTTTGGAAGAGTATTTGTCTAGGGGAGTGCTTTGATCTGTATTCAGACCAAGCAATAGACCTTGTAAACTCTCACAGAGTCAAGAGCAATTGAGGAATTGTATGTCTCTCAAGGATAAGGTTCGTATCTTTTGAAACCCATGCTAAAGTTGAGGTAATACAAAAGCATTTAATGACACAGGTAAAAAAAAGGACTTCCATTACACGATACATACATGTCTATTAAGAGTTTTAACACAACATAAATTCATCTTCCATTATAAACACGTATCAACATTTATATTATTTTTATTGGACGAAATCACATGAATCTCCTGAAAAGATTACTTGGTCAAAGCAGTACCAGAGATTCAAAGGGTACTTGGGTAGATGAACTTGCAAATAAGATTTTTAAAAAATAAAAATAAAATTTAAAAAAAATGCCATTACCTCTACTTGGAGTTTCTGGTTCCTTAGGATGCCTGGTTCCACACCGATGGGTCCAAGAACTGAAGCCATCCTTTCCTTCTCTCCCAGCCATGTCTTGAGACGATTGTGGGCCGTCTCGAAGTCACTCAGGCTGTTGATAGCACTCTCCAAGTCCTGTGTCCTCAGCTTGGCTTTCTCCTGTAACCTTAGCCATCTCTCCTCTGTATCCCCAACCAACGCGGAGCGTAAGGAAGCATCAGGTGGCGTGGAAGGTGGATGAGGCCCAGATCGTCCCGCCGGGTCAGGTGATAGTGGTGGTGGTTGTTTTGGAGCGGTGTGCACGTTCGGAGGCGGCAAGGATGTCGGGAATTCCGGAGAGTATCCGAGGAAGGTGTAGAAGAACGGTTTGGAAGGTTGAGAGGGCGGTGACGGTGTGCGATGTTGAAGGTTCACATAGTGGGCAAAAATGATACAAATGCAGAGGAGAATGAGTGGAATGAAATAGAGCACAAAGAACTCTTCAAATATAAACGGCATTGTCGAATCACATCATAGGTTACACAGCATCAATGAAAGTGTTTTCAAGAGTATGACGAGGCTCTGGAGATACTGTTCATGGTGCTAGCTTGCCAGTCAGAGAATGTTACATTGTTATTTTTCGGTTGCCAATACTCCTTTTGACAAACCATACAATGTACACAAGTTCTCTGGACAAAAAAAGTTTTGCGGATGTATATCATAGAGGGTGCTGGAAGTCAAATGATAACATAGCTCATCCTGAAGAATGTTTTCAATGTTGCTTTCCTTCCTACTTTTTTCTGTACTGTATTCAAATGTCAAATTTAGATACCATGGTACATATCTGTGTATTCAATGAGGAGTCAATATGTTTTCATGTTTTCATATTTTCCAAGTGTAATCTTATGAATGGGTATGAAGTAGTAGAGTTTTTTTGTTTTAATGTAATAAATGTACATTTATATGTATTTGTGTTGTTTGTATTGTAGAATTCAATCTTCCCACTTTTTTCCATCTCATTGAGTAGTTTTGAAGTTAATATTAAACAATAGATCAATGGCTTGAAACTCAAAACACAAATATTTAGGTCTGTAGATTTTTTTTAAAATTTTAAACAGAGTCTGGTTACATAACCATATGCCTCTGTAACTCTTGAAGGACATTTCCTTGAAATAATTATACTGGACTTACTTTGGCAACAAAAGAGATATTCAGTATATTACACTGAATGGGTTAAATGGACAGTGGATAAGTCATAAGTGGAGTGAGATCAGAAAGGAATCTTCATTTCATTGCCTCAGCATTTCCAAGAAGTACTAGAGAGAAGAAAATCAATGTTTATTTGCATATAAATTATTAAGCCCTTAGGATGGCTGGGAAGAGAATAACAAAAAAGGAATAAAGGGAGGATTTTCTTCTTTTCATCCAGGTAGGCTTGTTTTCTACATTTGACAATCAAAATGCAATTATAGATTCCAGATGACCCCCATCCCAAAATACCAGTAGGTTCTGGTTAATCTCTACTGCTTTGGTCACAACCAGCCGTGCGTCTTTTTGCAAGTGGGTGTGGATCCGCAGCTTGGACCGGGTCCGTAGGCCAACTCCTGGGCTTTGCACATCCTTCTTACGATCCCTCTTGGATGCCTTGCACCCCGCTCAAGAACATATACTTCCCCCTTACCTATATGAAATCTTGAGCCGAAATGATAACCCTCATGCAGGCGCCGTGCAACTAACGTGCGATGCGTTACGGCTCCGTATGGCTGTGCACATGCTACAGGGCTCTTGGAGACCACCGTAAAAACCCTGTGCGATGTACGCAAGAGGCCCCTGCGGTAGGTTAGCATGGAGTACAATTGCCGCACGTGTCACCTGCATTCATCAAACATCATGGCACCACATACAGTTTACTTGACATGTCCAAAGGGCCCTTACATGTACCTGTTGCATGCTCATGCGTGGCTAGATATAAATGTGCAGGCACGTGCATTGGACGCAAGGGTTTTCTGCGAAATCAATCGGGGATAATTGTACACGGCCAATTGTGACCATGGATTAAAGAACCTAGTACAGTACCTACCTCCTATTATTGCAAGTGTTGCATAACTATCTTATAGATTGCTATTGAAAAGAAGTCCTTTTTAGCTCACCCAACTACATCAAGGAATGCAATGATGAAGAAGTACAATAACAAAGCAGGGGTCTACTTTCCAGGGACCAAGACATTAACAAAAGCACAGGAAAGCCAATAAGGAGTACGCTATTTTGTAATTGGGTGGGGTAAGGGATTATTGATTTTTTTTTTAATCTTTCTGTCATGTCTGTTTGAAGTAGCAAAGAAGAGTCAAATATACCAGTACCTTTACAAGTGAGAAGTAATTTTACGTTTTAGTTCAACAACAAATTACAATGTATTTCCATTAAAAGAATCCTTGTTTCATGTACGTTTACTGTTATAGTTTTATTACAGCATTGCTGCAGTATTGAATCCTGAATCCATGGGAAAGATTTTGTTTTTGTTATGGTCCAATTCTGATAGTACATGTACACTGTGTTAACCAAACTGCTTTTTTCATATCTATTCTACAGAAACATGATTCATACACTTTTATATGTTGAATTATTGAATTTGATGCTAATGTGTTATTATGTGTATGACAGCATATTAATTATGGTTATGTTGTTTGTTCATTTTATTTTGTTTTGTTTTGTATTTCTTTTATTTGTTTCTTTGTTATTGCTGCTTTGCTTTAATTTATAAAGCTACATGAACAAGCTCATAGCTCCTTCATCCACTAGAAATCCTCAAAAAATGATTCACAAGGGATGATCACGGGAGACAAAAAACTTGATCAAAACCACAAGCTCCTGCTAAATATGCTGAAGTTATTCCATGATATCCCCATTAGTATGGATCCTGTGTACACAGTGAAACCTTATCTGAACAGATGTTCCAATTCTACCACAAGTCTATATGCTCACAATATGATGATGCTTTCCAAAAATAGCAAATACAGAGAGATAAGATAACACAAAGATCAATCTTAATCGACAAGCAAATTTAGCTCCATTCCAATATACTGAAGTTGTGCATCGAAAGTAAAATGCTTTCCAGTTTGAGATTACAATGTAAAGTTTGTGGATCTCCTGTTCCAATATGATGATACACACAGGATATACATGTACATCCTTCAACATAAGCTGTGTAAAATTTAATATTTCATCCTCTCTCTATTCCAGCTACCAGGCTTTGTCCATTCAACAACTGTGGTTAATTGACAAGATAATATTTGACACGGACAGGCTGCTAACAGATCCCAAACATCTGAAAAATGCCATGCAGCTGACCAGGGCGATAACACCGGCCAGCAGGAGCAGAAGATAGGAGGATGCTATCACCCATGGAACGCATCCCGCCCGTGGTATTGGTATCAGATGGATGCGGGGGAGATGGAGAAGAGCAAGTTGTGACAAGATAAGAGCAGGGGCATATCATGTCTGATAGAATATGATGGGAACTGTTTAAATCTATCAAAGTGCATGTCAAAGTTATGATAATACACATCATGAAGCTGATATCAATTTGGGAACTTCCGGTACTATATCAGTGCTATTTCTGGGAGGGGGAGGGGATTTTTAAAGAGAAGGCCTTCAGGCCCACATGTTTATTAATAACTCTGAGGAATACAACGATATGCTGTAAAAGTAGAAACTTATGGTCAATTAAAAAAAATCGCAAAAATTCAGCAAAGTAAATTCGATGATTCCATGGCATGATACTTTTGCAAATCTGGACCACCAATGCAATTTGTGAGTTTCATGCATACACGAAAGTGCAGTTGAGGTTCTACATACAGAATATAAATAAAGACAAGGGGTCATCAAGGGTCATTTACTCATTTATCATTGTGAGTGTCTCCGTCTCTCATAACCATGTAGGTCCACGACTACATTGCAGATCATGAAGGAATGCATTAATCTACTGTCTGGACTTGGTCTATTACAGATGTTTACCTGTCACATGCACTAAAGAACCGAGAAGATCTCAACAGAAATCTTTCTCCTTAAACCGATGCCCCATCAGACTGCATGTGACATTTGCACACTTGCAGTGACCGTGTAGCTGTCATGCTATGAGCGGTGATGATGATGATTGATGGGCGATGGGCTATGGGTAATATCTGGAAGAGGGGGTGGGGATTGGTAGGCAAGATTCTTGGTATCTCTTGGTATCTTTTGGTATTATACTAGCAGACACTACACTGTAAATGAAAACTTTGTATTAAAGGTCTACATGAATGCTGCATCTTCATTAACTGATAGACCAGTGATGATTGACAGGTGATGCAGTTGCCATGGAGGAGAAGGAGGAGGAGGAAGAGGGGAGGGGAAGGAGGATGGGAGAAGGAGGAGGGGAGGAGAAGGAGGAGGGGAGGAGAAGGGTGTGTAACATGCCTAGCATCTCCATTTAACTTCCAACTTCATAACCACCAAGGAGAAAAAAGGAGAGTTGTGGCACCCCTTAGCATCCCCTCCTCATGCAGACGGGGGCAGTCTAGCTTGTCTGGTATCAGACTGGTAGAACATGAAACTAACACACATGGAATGGTAGGAATGAGACCACATGGTTTAACCCACTGTGACCCACAGTAGGATGATTAGACTCATCCGCCAGAGGTTTCCTTAGACTATTATCTGTCTGTACTGTAAAAAGAAAGACATATAAGCCTATTCATTTCACCATGGACCAGACTCCTTTAAATCATGCAGACAAAAGGCTCTTCCAGAAAATACCATCTAATGATTTGTCGAGCATGAAAACAGATAAGAGACACATTTACAGAAATTGATTTGTATCTTAATTTGTTTACCGGTATATATATATATATATATATAATACAAATATTTTAAATGAATATGTAAACAAACCTATTATACTTGCAGTAGACCTAGAGGGGAAACTTGAAATGTTCATGGAAAAGGCATCCAAAATAAATATGTGCTTGGATATTGGATAAATACATGTATTTTTTTTAAACATGCAAATTAGGAAGATTGTACAGCCTCGATTTATTTTCTTCTTATCTGTTTTGCTCTATTAAATAGCTTTTCTGCCAGAAAACATAGAGTATGTGGATACCGAGCATCTGATCAAACATGTACATTGACAGTCATACATACAATGCTAATAAGTCATCTGTTT